ATTGATCTTATTATAAATAACTCAAGCAATACAAAAAAACTGTTCATATGCTTTTGGAATTACAGAAAACTGCCCCTTTCCTCCCTGTACCAGTTTTTTTTTTATTAAGATATCATTGATATACATTCTTATGAAGGTTTCACATGAAAAACATTGTGGTTACTACATTTACCTGAGAAAAAAATCAATGGTGTTTATAACAGAAACAATTTTAAAGAATCTTAAATTTTCTTTCAATAATCTCTGTTCAACTATCTTTACAGAAACAGCCCCAAAGTTTTCCTGTTAAGTCAACATAAACACTCTTACATAAATTGTTTCCTCCCAATGATACATTTCTTGAAGTTTTTATAATGTTTAAAGTGAATTTTCATGCTCAAGTTTAACAAACTTCTAAATCTTCATTTATACTTAGAACAATTTTCTTGTCCTATTAAGGGATACATAATCTATTTGTCAGTTATCAGTAAAAATGGAAAAGGAAGTTTAGTATCTCAATGCTAATACTCTGTAAGTTGAAAACAGTAACTTGTAAAATTCCAAACTTACCTTCGCAAAACTCACAGTCATCAGGGGTATATTATAACTGCAATTGAATGAAGTCATGGTGACAGAATATTGGTTGCTCATACTTAATCCATTAATTTTAGTCTGATTCACCATGAAGTGCTTTAAAAATATTCCTTTATTTGCTAGTGCTGGAAGTCTTCTCTTTGGCATTTCTAGAGAACAATATAAATGGGAAATAAAATTGCATTGTTTCTACTGCTAAAAAGAAAATCATCAAATAATATCTGTATGTCATGGAATAAGCTGTTTAGAATCAAATTTTAGAAAGAAGACCTTAAGGCAAGTAGTTTGTAGGGCTTGGTAAACTTCCACATCTAGAATAAAAAGCTTTAAAATATTTTGACATGTGAGCCCCATCACATGTAAAACAAAATATTTAAAAGTCACCAAGCCCTGCATTACATGTAGTTTTTTGCTGGTCAGTTAGCTCTGCTGGGTTTTAGGTTCCCTGAATGCAGTGCTCACTAGGATGTGTGCTCCACAGAGGCAGGACCAGGGGTTTCTTGCTCTCTGCTCCTTCCACAGTACCCCACACAGCATCTGCCACAGGGTAAGGCCTAAAGGAATGCTACTTAACGAACATCTATCCCAGCACAAATCAGCTGCCTTATCCACATGCTCCACCAATCATAATGTAGGTATGGTGATACTGGATTCAAAAAGAATGACTCTAAAGCAGTAACATTTAATATTTTCCAGTTGAATCATGACCTTATCCTTGCAAACAGTTCCAAAGGAGAGGATTCCAAAACTCCTCTGAGAAATGGTAATAATTATTTTTTAAAGTGACTGTTTGGAGTTAGGTTGAGTTTTAAGAAGATCCCAGTTTAATTTTAATTATTTTATTGTCGCAGCTATATATAATATATGAGTCTACTAACATGACTAGAAAAACAATGCTAAGATTATTAGAAAAAGTTTTCATTTATAGCAGTATTGATTATCACTTTGAGTCCATGGAAAGATTCAGCTCAATCTTACTAATCAGATGTCAATGTAAATAGTTGCCTCTCAGGAGTAGATCTCTGCCTTGGTAATTGGTTTCTCAAAAATCAAACACAGCAAAATGAAAACGTTTGCCATGGTTTATACATCTGTAAACAGAATCCAGGACTACAAAAGCTCATTCTTGCTATAATGGCCAAGTTTACATTAAGGATACATTAGAACCTTAAAATAATCACCTGGCCTTATTTATTTAAAAAAGAATGTATTTTAAATAGCAATATTACTGAGAAATAAGAATGACTCATAAATATTTAAAGACTAATATTTCTATACCACAAAATATAAATAATTTTCCATGGTTAAGATTTTACTAAAAGACAGATTTAGAAGGTTTAAGTATATACAAAATGATACAACCTACCATCCCATGTTGGAATTGTAGATGTCTCTCCAATGTATACTGTATCTACATAGAAAGACTGTGATTCTGATGCTTTCTGTAAACTAATCCTTTGAAGGGAAAAGTTTGTCCCAGTGCATTTGGTTTGTATGAGGTCCAGGAGGTCTATACAAGTGTAGGTCCAGCTGAAATATGGTTGATTAATTAGGTGTAGAGATCAGTTACAACATTTAAAGTAAAAAGTATTAAAATATTAAAGAGAGGTTTTCTTTTTTCCAAAAGACCATCAAACCTACTTTATTAGCACAAGAAAACAGCGGTAACAAGGGAGAGCAGATAGAAACATTGGCAGTAAAAGATGTAATGTTGCATATAAATATAGGTTTTCTTTTATTTGCAGCCTTGGCAATAGCCATAGGAATATAAAATATTCTGTAGTAACAGGTAAGGAAACTAAGAAACATACACCTTGGCACAGAATACATAAAGCAAAACCAAGAAACAAGAATGAAGTTAACTATTTTAGTAAAAAATATCAGCGGTTGAAAATAAATTCAGTTCAATACTAAACAGCAAAACTGGACTTGATATAACTGCAGAAGAGCTCACTGGAGTTGCATTGTCACTGTTCTGAATGACAAAATAAGGTGATAAGTTATTTATAGTATAGTGCCTTTTCATTTTGTAATTTAGTTTCAGATTTTCCTTTAAATATTAACTGTACTGAAATTCCATAAAATACAACTAAGCAATTCGGCTATGAGAGTTTGCGACAGACAAATACTGTCATCCAAAAACTAAACTAAATACAGTTTAAGAATACTCTTTGTATCAACTATCACTACAGTTATTAATTGACCAATTTGTTTGGGCACCTATTCCCATGTCCTTCATGGTTTGCAAACCCACCTCTAATGCATCAAAGCTTGGCTTAGACAGATGTATCATTTTCAGAAAATTATATGCAGAATTACATTAAGTTAAAGTGCTCTCTAAATAAAAGAAAATCATTTAGGGCCTCAGTAGAATTCTCCTCTAATTTTCCATAATGCTAAAAACATTAAAACTATTACTGAGGAAACTTGGTATACCGAACAGACCCTTTGTAAGAGAAAAGGAGCCTACAAATGATATCAAAACATAAGGGAACAGCACACTGTACCTTTATGGCTAGATAAATTATTTCTGAAAGAAAATCAGATTTTACTTTTCAGTTTTTGAAGCTTGACTTACAACTACAAACATCATCATTTTGGGGAGGTTAGAGAACAACTCTTGGGAAAACGGCACTTTTGACATTAACAATGTATTGAAAATAAACTAACGGTAACTCATCTCCTTGATCTAGGTGGATTATCTGACCTAAATAAAAGCAGATCAAGAAATACCTAATGGGAACAGGAGAGTTTACTTTGCCTTGACTGGTAATAGTTTTAACCAGAGAACCTACTCTTGTAAAAATCATGGCGTCTTGTTTAAAGGGCTTGTAGCATTTAGGGTAAAAGAAGTTCAGTTCCATCAAATGTACTGCATCTTCGAATTACTGCACAACAGATAAATTATAGGCTAAAAGGAAAGACCTGTTTAGTTGTAAGATAAGTGATGGTTTGACTAACATGGAAGAACTGGGATCTGTAAAACATTCCCAAATTCTGTTTCAGTAGAGTGGAATGTGTGCAGATGGTGGACATCAAAACTAAAATTGTGATTCCTGATTCTGCTGTTCAGTTTGGGCATACAGGGAATGGTTACAGAAAAAATGTACTGTTAGGTGTCCCCTCAAGAGGACTTCTCCTTCATAATGATCAATAATAGGATGGATTATCCATAATTATGAAGCAAACTGGGCATGAGGCAGTGTATATTCATTCTGTGTATGGACTTCTCATGCACCTTGACGGTTAATGTGGGTAGGGCTACCTTAGCCCTGGGACTGTTGTTGCCTATGTGATTGCCAACAGAGAGGCTGTGACCTCTTTTGAGCAAACAATTACCCTGTGGGATTGCAGAATTGTCCACACTCATTTCATTTATCTGAGAAGCTAGCTTTGGTCCCATTTCATGTGCTGGATTAAACTGTGCAGTAACCTTAAAGGTACATATTTGTGCATGGCAGGGAGGTGGGGGGTGGGATCAACACCTTCTTCAAAACTCCTGCCTGTCTCTGTTTGTATCTCTCTTTTTCATCCTATCTTCTTCATCTTCTGTGGCAAACAAAGATGGATCAAAGGTATAAAAAATGCCAAAACTGTACACACAGCAGCCAAAGGCTGTTCTAACAAATGCCATCAGAGGGCTAAATCTGAAGTGTTGGGAAAAGGGCATTTCTTAAACATCAGTTTGGGAAGATGTACTTTTCTTTTGCTAGGCAGGTAGAAATTGGTTTTGATTTCTTGCTTTAAGTTTTCATTGGAAAACAAGAACTAAGATTGTCCTGCAACTTTCTCAGAGGGCAGCTTCCTATAGTTCTGTGCAAACACTGTCCATCTCATACACAGGGCTCACCCAACTCTCTCTACTGAAGTCCACTTTAAGTTCTACCAAACGTCAGTATCTGATGAACTTTCTGTCTTTGTGTAACAACAACTTTTCTTACCTTACATCCCACAGAAGCATGTCTAGATCTTATTCCTGGGGTAAGACACAAATAAGTATCTTTCTTTCTAATGCTTAGCAATCTAAGGAATGTCAGTGGCAGAATTTTCATGTCTCCTGAAGAATTCTTTGAAAGGCTTAATACCCTTATTAAAGATGTTCTCTTTGACAAACATTTGTTGAATATCTACATTTTAACTATGGCTTCCTTCCTCATAACTAAAGACATTCTGACACCCATATTTAAACTGGGTCACAGTTGTCCCCTCTTCATTCACTGATAAGGATATCGGTAAGCATTAGAACCACATGCTTAGGACTGGATGCTAGCGATGCATTATCACGATGATGTTTTATTTTGAAAACTGAAGACTATATAACTTCCCTTCTTTCCTTAACAAAGGCCATTCCACTTTTGCATGGAGGAAGTTACAAGCACTGGCGAAACTTTACAAGTTTCATGTTAAACAGCTGGGTGGGGGCACAGGATGGGATGTATATAAAGGCATCTGCGTCCAGGCCCAGTGGTGCCAATGGGCTCTGACGTGCTCCCACCCACCTGCCTGGTCCTGTCTCCTGTCACTTCTCTTGTCACTACCCCAGTGAGGGTGTCTTGTTTCCTCCTAATTGAACCTGGGGACCTAGCTCTACTGGGCACATGCAGACCCCACTCTGCTTGTCTCACCCCTTCACTCTTTACACCCAGCCTGTGGGGGATCCATGTAAATAGTTTTTTTTTTAACCTTTAAGAAACAAGGTTGAATCTAAAGTAGTTCTTTGAATTTTGGACTATACACATTCCTAAAGGAATGAAATGAAAGCTGGTCCCTGTATCTTGAAAACAATGTTTGGCTGATATAGAAGACAGGAAGCTTGAAATTGAAGAGCTGGGAATCAGCTTCTTCATTCAGCAACTACTTTCTCCATTAAGACTGCCCTTTCTTCCCATCTTGTTATTCCCATCTCTCTGATCATTGTATTTGTTTTAATCTCTTCTCTTTCTCTTGCTTTGTTAATGGTTAGCATTTGATCCTTTTCTAACTTCGGGTAATTTTCTCTCCCCTCCTGTCTGAGTGGTTAAGAGGAGGCACTGCTTCTGTCTTACACTTGTTCCACACCTGGCAGTTCTGAATTATCATAATTTCTTCCCTATAATGAAAACAGAATAGTGATCTCCATATCTTACAAAATGATGACAGTTTAAATGATGCAACTGTATAGATCTATACAAAATGACTTTTATGTAGCTATGACAGATAAAAAAACCCACAAAGTAAACATATTCAAAATCTTTTTAAGACAAAGAAACCCTACCACAGTTTTTATGACATAAACTTTATATGAAATAAAAACCTAAAGTTGTGGAGAGAAAATGTTCAGTATCTTTACAGGGGTGATGATTACATGACTGTATACATTTGTCTATCTCACTGAATTATATTTAAAAACAGTGAAGTATGACTTTATGTAAATTATACTTCAATAAGCATGACTTTAAAATTTATAGGTAATACTTTATAAAATAGAAAACTTATATATGTGTGTATATGTCTTTATTATTACTTCCATTATATGTGAAATTTTTGTGTGTATTGTATATGAAAATGTCAGGGCTGACATAAGTTTCAGAAGATAAAATGATTAATAAAAACCAAAACATAATTATGCAGAACTAACTTGTTCTTAAGGGTATGACAAGAACAGTCATTAAATAGTTTTTTTCTAGGGTCATTTAGTTTCTCCTTTTATATTTCTCTATTTTCATTTCCATGGTCTAACTTTTGGCAAACCAATCCTTTAAAAATATCTTTTCTCCCTCCAAAATTTTGGAATATTCACTGAAATATTTCATTTTCTCCACTCATACACAGCAAGCCCTTTTTTTCAGTGATCAAAGTCTAATGTAGACAATATTGTGATAAACTAGTCCCTTTCCACTTTCCTTCAGTAAGTAGGAACATTATTAGATTTAATAATAAAATATTTGAATTCCAAAATTTACCATTGTTTTCTCTTTTAAATGGTCGTGGATAATAATGACACTAGACCGATTTTTATTTTTATAGTCTATAGATGTGTTTTTGGCATAACTATTTGTCAGAAAGCTTACGTAGAAAGTAGGAAAATTGCAGTTATTTTACTCACATAATCAAAAACAAACAAGAAATGGGTTTTTTATATCCACAGTTTACATACTATAATATAACTGAAGTTTTCAAATTCATAGAGTAACTTACTTGTTTCCATAAGCAAAGTTATATGTAAATCGTATATCAGTGCTTCTAGTAATCTTGCTTTTGTCTTGGTATTGAAATTTTACAGCAATATAATTTGCCAGGAATCCTTTGTAAGCAAGACATAACTATGTAGAAAATATGAAAAGTAACATTATCTTACTTTTAAATTGTTTTACAGTAATTCAAATTAACTCAATCCAATCTAATAAATAAGTATTGAGCAGTTTCATACAAAATGTATCAGAACACAGAGAAAAGAATGATCAGGTCCAGCCAATTAGATACAGAATAACTGGGGAAGTTTTTCTAGAAGAAGTGGAGTTGAAGTGCCCTTACAATTAATGATTAATTCTTTATTGTTTTCTTATATATGGTTTCCTTTAAAAGTGGAAGTAATTCACTCCCTATAGTCATGGAGCTACCTAAGGTTTAAATCCAGCTCCAGCTGAACTCTACAGTTACTTTAAAAGTCCATTATACATAAAGAGAGAAGAGAGAGAAACATTCAGGTAGGTTAATTGGGATGTGAATACATTAATTAGAGATGGAGATGAATGTCATTGTAAAATAGTAATTAATACCACTTTTAATGGTCCAGAACGCCTTAAGCATACCAAATATATTTAGAATTTAGAGGTTCACAACATGACACAAATTGAGAGTTAAAACAAGAGAAAAGATAATCTATGATTGCTAGTCTTAAATACCTATCCTAAAACTGTCATCCCTGCTCATTATTTTTCTTCACTTTCCTTGGTTGGATAATTCAAGTTCACTCTATGATGGCATCCATTTTTGTTTCTTTTAACTAATTAAGATATATTAAGGTGATTATACATTTTTAGTTTTTTAGCATTCAAATTTGTGTGCAAAAAAGTTTTCCTGAAATTATGACATAAAGAATATTTTTTATATTTCTTTTTTTGAGAGTCAACAGAAGAGGAAATTACAAGGACTCAGAATGTGAACTGCAGTCCTGTCCAAGATGACGTGACTTCACATGACAAGCACTTTTCCCTGTCTAAAAATGTCATGAAATTTTATTATCTAAGTATTTTACAGATTTAATTAGCATATCATTTTGTTGCATTTACCTGATTATAAGGAAATAATAAAATGTCTCCATATGGTCGTCCATTTGGTTTAACATCTGCTGAGTCAAAAAGAACAGCTGGGTTTTTCAGGGAGTAACGACCACAGAAAGCATCAGTTTCAGCCGTCTTCTGTCCTCTAATAGGTCCCTATAGAAACAATAATATTTCTAATGAAACATGACTTACTCTCCTGCTTTATTTCTGAAATAAAGTTGTTCAGATTCCAACTTGGATCCCATTGCCTCCCAAACGACTTCAACGTGAAACGTTCTCTTTCTTTGAAATTCTAAGTCTCTCATCCTGTATCACTCGTTTGGATCTGTAATATAGAATCCCTGTATTTGTATTTGACTATTTTCCAAGTCCTATCTTTCTCCTATCACGAACTCCTTCATTCCTCCCACAAATATTTATTCGGTGTTCATGTGGGCCAGTTTGTTTGGTTTTGCTTTTTGTTTGATGTTCAGGGTTCAAGTAGTGAAGAACACTACCCCTACTAATAGGAGCCCACCACTTCAGGACAGAGGAACTAAGGATTATAATACTGGGGCTGAAGGCAGGCATCTCACTCACATGAAAGCATCAAGAAATATGACTCAGAGGAAGTGGCATGTGAGTTGTCAGGAATTACTTAAAAGGGAAAGGGGATTAATGGGCTTCAGAGAGAAGGTAAACTATGTGCAAAGAAGCAGAGATGTGAGAAAGTGGTGCTGGGAAGTACAAACAGTGACAGCAAGGTGGAGCACAGAATGTGTGCTGTGATGATGGTGGGAGATGAAGGTGGATGGAGGACACAGTAAACTATCTGTGCACTTCCCACGGTGGCTAGGATAGATTTAGGATAGGAAAACCCAAATAGATGTATATTTATTACACTAAGTTTAAAAAGTAGCCCATTAAATAGAAAGATTTTTTTCTTTTTTTCCAGTAATAAATCTGCTTATGTAAAGCATCATGTGATACATTTTTAAGGATTCATATTTATTTTAGGGTATTGATCTGAATTGAATAACTAGCTTATATATTTCTTATTCTTATGGTATTCACTTGGAAATGGTGTATATCTGTCTCTTCCTCAAATCTTCAAAATAAGAATTAAAAAGATAAGAGTAAATTTTTCTTTAAATTTTTCTTCTATACATCAAAGAAAAATCCTTATACCTCACCAAGAAAGAAATAATGACTAGACATGGTACAAACTGACCAGAAGTTGATCTCAAAAAACAAGGGAAGTAAATTTGCTATAAAATGTCCTACTACAAATTGTATTCTCTGAAGCCAGTGAGGAAGAAGGATTTAGTCTGCATCCAAGTGAAGAAAATAACAACAAAAAAAACCTATAGATCTTATATTTGCCCATCTTGCCTACTTTCTTTTGATCAAGACAATTTACATGTGGTGGAAATATTGTTTTCACAAATGAATCATATTACAATGCAGTGAGATGCTAGAACAGACCTTACCGATGTATAGCGAAATTATTTTTGCAATTTGACTTTGATAAAGGAATTAGTGCTAGTTCAAAACAGAAATTCCAAACAGTTATATGAATTCTGGTTCAGTTTTGTAGTTCACTTAACATTCCATACCAGGTTAAAATCATTTTCATAGTCTCTGAAGTATTTCACAACAGGTCCTTCTTCAAAATTTGCAATTTGTGGTGGACACTTGGCTGTAACCATTTCTTCCACTGCTGCCTGAAACTAAATTAATAATGTGACCTTTAGTAACTCCTTTTTCATGAAGAGTTAGAACATTAATAATTACTCATTAGTTATAATAGACATTTGCATGAGATAATTCCCATATTTTAGCCATAATTATGAGACAATTTCCTAAATAATTTTAAGTTAATAGGTGATCATTTTAGTGTCCACTGACTTTTTTAAGAGTTTTATTTTAGAATGACAATAGTAATATCCATTTAGCTAATATTAGCTTACATAGTTACTAGGTTAGGTAGACACATTTGTTCAGTAATTTTTAAGGTGAGCAATGAGGCAAACCTAAATGAATTAGCACCAGTTAAACATTCCAAATGAATAGTTTTCCCAATTAATTCAAAATTAACTGGAATAAACTACACATTCCAATGCATTCTGTTTTTCAAAAGAAGAGATACAGACACTGTAATGAAAGCCTGTATTTACAATTACTTAAAAAATAATACAATCCTAGATTATACAGTAATCAGTACAGTTTCATGAGGTCTCCAGCAACATCCAAATCTACTTCTCTGGCAAAGCACATATGTAACTGGTGTTTATGATTAAGAACTTGAGATAATATATGGTCTTTAATCACCAAACATATAGTAACTTCACCTTATTGTACAGGTAGCTATCAAAATTCAGTAACTCATAAGCAAACATTCTTTCTTTATGAACAGCTGCCAGGGTTAGAGATATACACTGGATCCTGTTGGCACAGATCTAAGAACTCCCCTTTGTTCCCTCTGCTTTGTTATATTTCTTCCCTTCTCTGCTGACTGTGAGTTGGCTCCAACACAGCATGAAAAGTAGGAGAGTGTGCTACTAGTCCTTAAAGTGTTTTTTTTTACAGAAAGGTGACATTTAAAGGGCTTTCTGTCTATAAAATTAACATAGAGCATACTTCGGCTTCTGATGACCATGGGGTAAGAGGCTTAGCAGTGATCCCATCCCAAGTCAGTGTGAATGTGTCCAAACTGGGTTTTCCTTTAGTTTGTTCTGTAATATCCAGTGTGACATTACTCCCCTCAAATACTTCATAACCGAGCAGATCAAAGTCTCCTACAATGAAGTATCACACAGAATTTCAAGAAGTTAATTAAAAAAATATCAATATATCCATAATAGACAAATTTAACAAAACTGGTTTTATTTGGAGTGGTATTATCACAAATAAGGAATGAATATAAGGAAGATTAGATAATTGAATTTGAGCAGATTCATCCATAGGAGAAATACCAAAACAGCAGATAAAGTGTTTGTTCATTTAATTGTCTGATTCTATGGCTTAAAAGAACTATTAGATAAAAAGAGGGAGGCACTGGACTATGAGATAAAGATCAATGGGCAGTAGGATATTCCAAAAGTTTTTTTATTTTTGTTCCAATAACATTATCTTAGTATATGGACTTGACCGAGACACTGCTATTTTCTTTAGCCATGAATAGAGTACAAAACTGAATTCCAGGAAACAGCTCCAGGCCTGTGAGACTTATTTAGACAATGTTAATTTGAGAGAAATAAGGCCTTGTCCTAAGATATTTCTCTTTGGGAGGATGATTTATCAGTGGAATCCATTGAACTTCTCTATTTGGGTGAAGTTGTAGAATTGTCCCAGTTATCATTTTGGTATCATATTTCTTACAGTCTCTGCTGAGGCCTTGAAATTGCTCTTTGATGTATAAATATGTTCCTGGGAGAAAAAGAGTAATGATATCCTCATTTATATGGCATCTTGACAATATAACCTTTGAGAAATTTTTAGCACTTCAATCCATGTTAAACAAAATTCTTCACCCTCCACTCAACAATCAAATCAGTAATTTCATAAAAGAGACATAAATGTTGAGTAACATTTTATTTAAATAAATTATAAAATAATGACTGCCCAAAGAATAGTAAATAGATTGCCCACATATTCAGGGATGTGTTTCATGAGCTAGATTATCTCAAATACCCAAATTGGTTGCTAAACTTGGTTTTAAGGTTTGAAAATATGAAACATTAATAGGAAGTTACCAGCTATTATTTTAAAAGGGTAAAGAGGTTGAATAATTAAGGAACTGTTTTATTAAACACAGGTGAACTGTTTTCTGAGTTTTGGTTTTGTTTGTTTCACTTTGGGACTCTTCAGCAATTTTAATATTCTAATGAGCTCTGTCAATCTTCAAGAAGAAACCAAGGTATGCAACGTTTCCTACATGATTTGGACCACAGAGTCCTTTCCATAGGCAAGATCTGGCCAGCGTAGTGTCTCCTAAGCAATATGGATTTACTTAAATTTCATAACCCAAATTAATATTTCACTAATTTTTGTTAAATATAAAGTAAGCTATTATACTAATAGTACATTTGTAGTATATAGAATGTGCTTCTCATTCATTGGAGTTGTATATTCCTTGAAATACAACTGAAATTTAGATTACAATAGGAAAATTTAACCACTTCATTTCTATTTCTCCTACAATTGATCAAGGCTATGAATCCAATTTTTTCCTCTGTCATTCTATGAAGCTGTTATCTTTTTGAATGGAGTTGGACAGGATACAAATTTGTTTCCTAGGAAAACTTTAAGATAGTGCGAAATGAAATACTTGCTTACCTCTAGTTGATATAAAGGTTACCATGTAAACATAGCTTTGGGGGGTTTGTGTTCTTATTACTCGAACTGTATCCGGTTTAATAGACCAAAGATCATTTAAGGCTGATTGCAGTATGAAGTCAGAAGCATCAGCAGGTAGCAAGACTTGGGTTGAATTAAAAAAAATTAAAGTCAAATGATTATAGGCTTTAATCAAAAAAAAAAAAAAAGAAGAGTTGAAATCTCTCTGCACTACCACAGCAATACTGTCTTACATCCAAATTTTTTAAAGCACCTATTGATACCATGAAAGTTATCATTGAATTAAGTTGTGTTTTGAAATTGGTTCAATAATAGTGACTACTTACTTCACTGGACTGTAATCTCTTGAGAAAAGTTTAAGTAACTAATATTCACATAGTACTAAGCATTATATTTGCCAAACAGTAAGCACTCATCAATATTTACTTATTGAAACAACAGAAATAGAAAAATCTATTTTTTCAGGATTTATTATAAAATATAGAAATACAATGTTTTTTATTAACCGATAAAATAGTATCTCATAGGTGTATCACTTAATGTTTCCCACATGGTTTGGATCACAGAGTCCTTTCCATAGGCAAGAGCTGGCCAGTATAGTGTCTCCTAAGCAATTTGGATTTACTTAAATTTCATAACCCAAATTAATATTTCACTAATTTTTGTTAAATATAAAGTAGGCTATTATACTAATTTATAGCACTTGAAAAGCTGAAAGAAATGTTTACTTCTCTGTAATGATGAATTTCATTCTTATTATCTTAACCTACACCTTTGAATCGAGTCACAGATATATAAAATCTTTATTTGCATTTAGATATACATTTATCATAATCCTTATGAAAGAAAATGGTAGTATATGCCAAAAAATTGTTTTAATTGATGCCATTTTCTATCCCAGTCTAAAAGTTTTTCTTCATACTATATATATTTTTGCTTCTTTGTCCACCATACTATTAAAACTGTTTTTCAGATAGTGTAATTTGACTAGAGCAAATGCTTTTTAATAATTTCATCTATATGTGAAGAGAAAGTCTCCCTTATTTTTTTTATAACTTACCAGTTTTTTCCATGTTATGGATCAATCTATACTGGTAAAGTGAACATGAATCAGCTTCCACACACGGGCTGGTTACCGTGATTTTCTGAACTTCACTCGTTGCATTCATTGTTTCCCAGTTTTCCAATGTTATAACCTATTTTCCAATTTTAAAAAATTGAAAAACACATTTTAAGAGCACCATAAGTCAACTATTCAATGCTTCGTTATGGCTCTATGTTACCACAAATGATAAAATATTTTAAGGATTAAGTTTTATTAAATAACAGCCCCTTAGTTTATTATACAGATAGTCAAACCTATAATTCAATCATTTTCCATAACTGCTTACCCCCAGTTTTTTACCTAGTAAAATTAATAACCAAATAGAGCTCCTATCTTTGAACACTTACTTTCTATAAAGTTAATTTATAATTATAGCAAACCTGTATTTCCTGAACAGATGTTGACTGGGATTTGATAACTTGTTCTTCATTTACTGAGTCTTCTGTTTGTTGTTCAGTATAGACACTTCTATGCTGGTACAGTCCAACCTCAACAAAAGCACTTAATCTATACTCTTGCAGCAAGATTTCAATATAATATCTGGAAAACAGAGTAACTAAAGAATATAACTTTTCTCCAGAGCACTTGTCTTGAATTCTTTTTTCAATGAACAAAGTTTCAACACAATATAAAACAACTGCCTGTTGAATGGTTTATTTATATTGCAGTATCCCTGATTTTAAATATTAAAATTTTTTAAATTTCAGAGCAGTTGACTAAAATAAAATGATTCTGTAAGATATCTGCATTATACTTATTCCCATTCATGATGAGTTCATTCAGTTTTGACAATAGGTATATATTGAAAAAGATACTATCCCCTATTCTTTTTTAAATTAGTTTAAGACAAAATTACATTTTAGATTATAATGTAGACTCCTTGGCATAAAAACACAGAGGACAGGCAAAGGTTAAATACTTTAATGTGTGTAAGAAAATGATAGGCACACTTGGACATATCATATATTTCCTATCTGAATGGTTGTATGTGTCAGGGATGAACGTTTCTACTTGCTTTCTTCAAATACTGGCTCCACTTGTAACTTGGGGAAGTAAAAAATTACCTCAAGAAACGGTACTGATTAAATTGACTATGGCCTTCCAAAAAGCAAGATGGGATTCACACCTTATATTTGGAATTCTTGACTTCTAAGGCCGCCTGCCTGTCATCCAGTTGTCTATGCAGGATGAGGAATTCCCTGGCCAGCTGCTACAGGTGAGTGCAAAGCTACCGCTTTTCTACCTGAATATTCATCAATCTCACCATTGCTCCCATCTTTGGAGAGGCCAGCTGGGAGATCCTATAAATTGCTTCATATCATTCAACAGATACTCTTTTTTATATGGAGGTTAAGTATCCACAGTTCATGATAACTCTGAATGAAGGACACTTATCACCTGCCATCCATCTAGGCTGATGGGTCTCTGGTTCATCTCCCTGAGAGAACTGCTACTGAAGGATTACAGCAGGCTTTTGGCTGCCCTGAGAGCCTGTTTGCCAGTTCTGCCTGAGGTTGGCAATGCAATTTAAGGAGCAGGACTCAAAAGAGGAACCATTAAATTCTGTATCCTCCCTGGTGCTTAAAAACATTTGTTAGGCACTTTCTATATGCTAGATGCCATACTGAGCAATTTACATTATTACATTTAATCTTTACAAAATCCTATAAAATCTAAATTATTATTCTCTGTGCACATGAGTCACAGAGACTTAAGAGAGTTTTAAAGATTGAGAGATTATTTAACAATCCTACTGAGGTAGGATTTAAAGTTGAACAGGGTGCCAAAGAGACATACACTTAGAGATGGAACTATATTATCTGAGTAGAATGAACTGGCAGTATTGCTACCTTTGAAAGGCCCCGGGGACCACTGTACAATCAACCAGCTAGAGTAACTTCAGCTTCAGAATTCCCAGCCATCAGTATGGAAGTCAGTGTGTAAATTCCAAGCTAGTTTGCAGGAGCACAAACACCAGGCAGCAAAAATGCTGTAGGTCACTTTCACGCAAGCTCAGTGCTCCTGCCAAGCTGTCAACTGATGTCATTTTCCAAGGCCAGTGCAAACCTGAAGGTATGCTGACCCTTGATAGCAGTAGGGATTAATTGGGTGCTCCATCTACCCTGAATTGGCCCAATGATCTTGGTTAAAAAAGAAAATGTGTAAGTACATAAAGAAGTAATAGTTGAAGGAGGAGGAGAAAAAGATTGGAAAGCTTTCCCCATGTAATTTTACTAAGACTTTAGTGAGAACACTGAGTGTGACTGCTCTCAGGTGCCTTTGGTCCCAACTCTCTGTCCAGCTCCATCAGATCTTTGTGAGCAATATCTGGAAGGGTAATGGGACAGAATGAAAAAACAAAAAGCAAAAAAGTCCTCCCATCAAGAAGTGAAGTCTATTTCTTCAACCCCTGAATCCAGATTTGGCCAGTTGCTTTGGCCAATGTGATATTAGCAAATGTGACACAAACAGAGTCTTAAAAAGTGCATGTACCTTGGGGATTGCTCTCTTTACTGCTGGGAACCCATTCACCAATGTAACACACCTGGGCGATAGAAGACCATGTGGAGAGGGACATCCCAACAGTGACAACGGAGGCTCCAGACATGTGAGTGAGGCCATCCCAGACCATCAGTGGCCAGCTCAAGTAGCCAAGCACCAAAGAACCACCCCACTAATCACAAAATTGAGTTGCCTTGAGCTACTAAATTTGGGGGAGTGGTTTCTTATGCAATAAAACCTAACAAATGCAAGTGATAAATGGAAGATGATCTCAATGAATCTTCTGATGCTCTCCACATAACTTAGTTATTTTGAATATATCATGCTTTTTACCTCCCTGTTATTTAGGAATATCTACAAAATGGCATTTTGAATGACATTATCTGCCTTATTTTCTCCCTGAAATTGACCTTTCAGCACTAAATGACGTACTCCTTAAGGGCAGAGAGTGTATTTTAATACCTTTTGTATTAAATTTCCAGTACCTGTTCCAGGGTCTGAAATAAATCAGTGAATATTAAATACATACTGTGGCACCAACCCATGTGGCTTTGTGATTTTTATCTAGCAATACACAAGAGCTCAGGTGTAGGAGCATAGAAAGTAATTGCTGGATTGACTGGAACATCCAAGTAAGAAATTAAAAACTGGATTAAGTGAATTTTGAAAAATAATTTCTACAACAGGGATAACTTAGATTTCAAGTTTCCCTAGATAGCTGAATGACAGTATTCTTGAAAATACTGAAACTAAAGTTAACACAGTTACAGAAAATGACCAATTATAAATTAAGCCAATAAACTAATATCACCTCTACCAATAAAACTAATTGAAAACACCTTTAGATATAAATTTATAGTTTTTAAATAACACAATAACTAAAGAAAAGAAAAAAAAATCCTTACTCTTTTCCTTTCTGAAGATGAATCTCATCTGATCTTTGTGTTGGACTGGAAAAATAACTGTTGGCAGTGGAAGAATGATATGCAATCCTCACCTTATCCCAAAAAGAAAGACAGAAAGAGAAAAAAAGGAGAAATGATTAATACAACTTATCAGTACTTATTTATTTACAATTTATTATTTCTGTCAGTCTTGGAACTTTCATGAATAGAAAAATGTGAAACTACTTCATATTTTTCTTCTAATATCTGTTATCCATATTGAAATACAATTTTTAAAAATGATGAAAGCTCATTTCATCCCTTCCACCTTTAACTAATATCAGCACCACTATAACATGAATACACACAGACCATAGCTTTTCCTTTATTAGACCTGCAACAGAAAATAGACACATTCCAGGAGGAAGACTGTTCTCAGTAAATAAAATATTTTGCTTTGCAGAAAAGTTTTAGAGATCTAATACAAATGCAATCTTTAAAAGTAGGTCTCAAAGATGCCAAAGATCACTAAATGGGTCTGCATACTAGAATGAAGAGACTTTGGGCTTCCCATTAGGAAAGACTATACTATCTTTGGAAGAAACGTGTTTAAAAGCTACAGTAAAATTTGACTTCATATTATAAGCAGCAATTTAAGTGTGTTCATCCAGTTTGGAGGCAATCTTGCCATATATATATATATATATAGTGAATCATACAATGGTTTTGATTTGTCCTATTAGTTTCACATTTGTGAAACTGTCCTAAAGAAATAATACAAAATACAAAATGATTTAATGAACACAAATGCGAAAAAGAGTATTATTTGTGGTCAATAAAAAGTCAGAAATGTGTTGGTATGGAGAAAGTTTTCTAAGTTTAGTAAACTCATGTAGTAACACACTATTCGGTCATTAAAAATGGTGTTCTAGAAATTATTTAATAAAGTGTGGAAATAGTAATATGTGACAAAAATGATGAAATTTGGTGTATGATTCTATTATATAAAACAATGACATAGAAATATAAGGAAGTGATAGACTTTAATCTCATACCCAAGTAATAGTGAAATAGATCTAGTAGAACAGTGAAATATTTTGTCTTTTTTAAGTATCCTATGTTTGGTTATAATTCTTTCATAATAAAAATAATCTTCGATTTTAAAGGAAATACAGTATCTAAGTTTTTTCCTTGCTAACAAAAATTTAGATATGGGAAAGCATTTTCTTAGGCTGTGGTTTTCTATGATGACTTTATAGTTCACATCACATGTGTTACAATAGCCAAGAACTCAACCTCATGGAAATGTATTTAATAAGTTCTTTAATATATTAGTTGGTTTTGGTTTAGAATAAAGGAGATACATATAAGGGCTATCATCTTGTTTCTAAAAGATGAAATAATATTCTGTGGCTTCCCTACCTTATCTTCTGGAAGGCCAGTCTGGCTGAAATAAACAGCGTAACGGTCATCACCTTTGATGTAAAATCTATAAACATCAGAATCTGGAGCCACCAAAAATCCACTGAACCGTGCAGCAAATGTGTCTTGCTCCATGGGCCAAATGTAGGAAGCTGAATCTACCCAGCTGGCACCCATGTACCCTGGTGTTTTTTCATTGTATTCAAGTATCTCTTCAAGATGTACTGGCCGGCTATTATTCCATACCTCGAGCTTTAGGCCTCTCCCACCTGAATATAAAAAAAATTTTTAAATCCTTTCATCAGAACTTTGATGCGGTGTATCAGTGGCCTTCTACTTGGGTCGTAGTTATAGACGTTTGTTGCCTTTCACATTTTTGGAGAGTGTGTATGAACAAAATAATACCCCTACATGTACCTGTACCCTGAGGATGGAGTCTAATTAAGATAGTCTATAATTTATTTATTATTATTTCACATATCTACATCTCAGATTCTACTATGTAAAATGGGAGTAATATTAGTTTCTGCCTGGTTGCTACAGGAATGAGATATTAGCAAGTGCTTTACTTAAGATAACCATAATACAATAATTACTATGTATGGTATGACTGATGTTGCTGTATACAGTTAAGTCTCAAACTTCAAGAATCAGACCATTTGATTACAAAACCTTTGCCTTGATGATTCTAACAAGTTAATTAATGGCTTACAACTAATCGAAGAACAGGTATTGTTGGCTTTAAGAATTTTAGCGGTATTTATTTTTCTTCTTTTTAATATTATTTCTGCTCTAGGACTTCATGTCCTTCTTGGACAGAATCAGAGAAAGAATACTCTCATTAACTTGAACCTACTCTTGCCAGTGTAAACCTGTGATTAAGGTTTGTCCTAATCCTGAGACCTGTCTCACTTTTCCTTTTTTCTTCTTTTAAATACAGCAATCAGGCTCATGCCTCCCTCCGGTAGCCTGCGCTTGTCTGGAGTGTCTGGAACTAGGCAACAGCGGCTGCTCCTCTCCAGCTGTTTGGTTAGAGAAAAGCTTGAGAACATCAATCTTTCACAGCAGCAGCATTCTCTGAAACCTACAGCTTTCTTTAAAGTTATCAATTATAAATGCCAGAATTCTCTTCTTAAACTGGTCATTTTTTTTCCTAAACAAGGAAATTTAAGAGACTGATTAACAGAATTTGTTTGGCTTCAAATATCAAGTACTGATACAGTCATGAACCGATTTCACTCCACACAAGATCTGAGATACACCTTCCTCTGAAACATGCCCAGCATCTCTGTGGCATCAATGCCCATATAAGCTGAACTTGCACTGGGCCACACATGAGAGTCTGGAAAGAATTCTTTGAGTTCCATCTCTCTCAGCTCCTGTTATCCCTCTTCAACCATTCCAGACAAGTAAGGATTTAGCCTCTGCCATATATTTTTTTAACCAGGAGAAGACATTTAAAAAAATTTCCAAATAGTCTGCACCAACATTCAGTACTCATCATTTAATTTGAAATAAAGGCATCATAGTAGTGTCAATAGAAATGTGTTTTTGGTAGGGTGTCTGAGGAATTGAGGCTGGGTTCACTGCCACTGCTACAGCTTTGATGATGCTATTTGAATAACCCAGAAAGTATAAAGAGAAAAACTAGGGAGAAATTTATTGTAATTCTCACTACAATTCTAAAACGTCCAAATAATTTTTTTGTTATTAACTGTTCTGGGCTGAATGTTTGTGTGTTCCCCCAAAACTCCTATGTTGAAACCTAATGCCCAATATGGTGGTATTAGGAGGTGGGGCCTGTGAGGGATGCTTAGGTCATGAGAGTGGAGCCCTGATGAATGGGATTAGTGACCTTGTATAGGAGCCCCCATGGAACTCCCTAGCCCCGAGGAGGTGCTCACTTTGAGGAAGCAGGTCCTCACCAGACACCCAATTTGCTGGTACAATGATGTTGGAGTTCCCAGCCTCCAGAACTGTCAAACACAAATGTTTGCTGTTTAGAAGCTGCCCAGTCCATGGTATTTTGTTGTAGCAGCCCAAATGGACTGAAATGCTAATGATATATGTAAATAATATTCTTCTTATGTAAATGTGGGCATGTGCATTCTCTTTTCTGGTAACTTACCTGGATATACAGTTCTGAGAATATCAGGTTTAGGGGGTGTCTTGCAACAAATGCTGTTTTCTGTGACATTCAAAATATCACAGCGTTGACCTATAGAGAAGCGAAGTACAGAGCTATCACTACAGAGCTGCAGAATGCAAACCACACTGGCCTATTTTCAAGTAGTTTTTCAATGAAAATAAACTTGCACAAGGAAGAGGCAAAGTTGGTGGGGGGGTGTCCTTCGTTTCCTTTATATGTTCGTCATTAAAGCTTATTACCCAAATGGCCATATTTCCACAACACAACATTTTCTTGACAAAAGACCACAAGTTTGAGTTAGAAATTTCACAATTTCTGAGAAAGAAAATTAAAACTTTGATAAAACAATGTTACTGTGAAAGCTTTTCACTCTGGGAAATGCCCAAAGTGAAGCCTTATAATTTTATTTCTTGGAGAAAAGTTGCTGAATAAATCTATGATGTTCAGAATTTGCAAAAGCAGATGATCCCAGTCCTCTTAAGTTTAAAAAAATGGTGCCTTAGTCCAAGTTCTTTAAACAAAAATAAAAAGGGTAGTAGTTTCTAAATGGCATTTCTAAATGACTTCAGAGGCAGACTGAAACCAAAACAGACAGGAGTCTAAATGAGAATGATTGTACCTATACATCAGCACAGTTAGACTTGAGGGAAGGTCCGCATTATTATATTCATCCCAACCTCCCTTTTTTCCTGTATAGCTTCCTATCTTTGAACAGATGTAGACCAGGCACATAAAATTGATGTATAACCATAGGACCAAGCCCTATGTACATTTGAAAACATGTTAACACACTAATTAATGCTCTTTCCAAGGCCAATATCATCAGTAATTACTGATATTCAAAAAAGACACAGCATCTGAGAAGGGAATGAGGAGAATATCCACAAATAGTTTAAATTTCTCCATAACTAGCCAACCCACTGAAAAGTCACAACAGTTCAAAAAAGTGTATTTAAGAGTTTAGGAAACAGAGGGTACATGTGTCTCTTCATATGGTGAGGAATTTGTGGGCAGCGATGCTTTCACACAGTGGCCCTTGGCTCCCAACCGCAGCGCCCCAGTCGTGATCACAGAAGGCTGCGAGGAGTGGCCCCCACTGGGAAGTCACAGTGGGAAGAGCATCAAACCCCATGACCAAATGCCTACGTGAAAATACCCAGCTTTCAATTTAAAATGGTAATCGAGAAAAGACTACCATTCTTCTTACAAACTATTAAAGAAAAGGCAAGATATGTTTTCATAAAGCAATATATTAAAAAATCAGGAAAACTACCTCCAACTAGAACTCTGACTGGGAAATCTGTCTGATCAAAGAACCGTCCACTTATTGTTAGCATGGTGCCTCCCTGAGTGCTTCCTTCCGAAGGTGAAATCATGGTGACCTCTAGGGATAGAAGGGGGAACATTAAATAAAATGTTATGAATAGTACACATAAACTCAAATGCTTGATTTCCAAATTATCTAGGCACAGTACACAGTATACTGTGGGTACTGGATCAGCAGATGGATGAATTAGGTGTTTCATTATTCTGTCTCTGATGCCCTCCTGCAAAGAGGACAATAAAATGGCTTTCATAGAGCCCTACATCTCTTGGGTCCAGGCTTGGTGGTGACTGGTGCTAAAAAAGACACTGGTAATGAGAGGCTCCAAGGAGTGAGGAAAACCTGTGCTGAGCTAGATGTTTGCTTCCCAAAGAAAACACAGGAAGGCAGGAAAACAGCTTCTTCTCCCCTTCACTCTTGAAGAATGAGATCTTTTTATATTTATGAGTCAGGATCTTATATTTATATTTTTCTCATATAGTAATACATTAAACTATGATCAGAATTCATGTGACTTTATACATAAAAGTTTTAGGTATACTGGTAAAATATCCCAGTGCATGATATATGGTAAATTCTATTAAAATGTATTCTTATTAGTTCTATCTATCAAAGTTCTATGTCTTTTTATATATGAGTTTCACATAAAGTAAGTTTCTAGAAAAAGCCAAGATACATCATATTTGATTGATCCTAAGATATTTTTTTCACACTGGAACATCTTTGAAATCTGAACATGCCATTCTGTCACTCCTGTCCTGGACTGAAATATATTCTTCCAGGAGGACTTGTTTTTGCTTCTGACACTCTTCTAGGGGTATTACTAACCTGAGAGCTCTGTAAATTAAAATAAATTATTATCTGCTTGAGGATTCTTCTTGGCCACACTAACAGCACAAATCTGAGAGTACTTGCTTGTAATTTAAATTGACAGAAGAGATATTTTTTCTTCCCTCAACCAACACCTAAAGTTGAGATGTGCATTTCCCTTCTGTCTCTTTTAGAATGATGGGTTTATTTCTTAATCAACCTTTACTAGGAATGTAGTTTTCAGGATCTTAGCATAATATCAGGACTTCCTATTAGACTCCCCATTTTAGGCTTTTTTTCCTTTTCCAGCACATAAAATAATACAGTACATATAAGTCATTACTATCTTTGATTTGAGGAAATGAATTGTACACATTTTTCTCTCTCTATTTCTGTCTCTCTCTTTCACATACAAACACACACATGAAGTGAGAAAAAGGTCACATACCTGCATATGTTTGAAACATCGAGATTTTATTCAGAGAAGAAACAAAATATGCCATTTTTTGTGGGAAACTCCTGTTTAAAAAAGTAAAAATTCTTACCTTAAAAATGAGCTTTATTTGGAAAAATATTTTTTTACTTTAGTGATATATATGTCATGCCATAATTTTCAAAGGAGCTACAACAAAACTTTTTAGGAAGATAAAAACATTCTATATCTTGATTCAGCTACTAATTCTACAAATATAGAAGCATACAAATACTCAAATATACAATGGTGAGAACTTACTGAACTGCACATTTAAATTATGTGCATTTTACTGTATGAAAATTATAACTCAATAAAGAATTTATAATAACATTAAAAAACAGACAGAAGAACTACCCTTCATAAACACTGGACTCTTTTGTTGACCATCCTACTCTCTTCTCTCTTAAAACCCAGAATAATTAATATTATTGAGCACATATCAGATACCATGCTGAGATTTTTAAGCTTCTAACCTAAGACTTTTTTAAGCTTTCACCTTATTAAGCCATTTAAACCTTCTAGCAACCCCATAAGGTAGGTACAACTCAGAGAATTTATTTATCCTACTCAAGGTCACAAAGAGAGTAAGTGGTAGAAACAGAATTTGAAGCCAGGCAATATGAGTCCAAAGCCTTAGCTCCTAACTGTGCAGTACACAGTTCTTCTTTCCTACCACCAATTTGAAGGAGAGTACAGTAGGATGAGAGCAAGCCAACAATAATCCACCAGATTATGTCAGCCTTAATAAACACTGAGTTTATTCATATTTTTTGCTAGATATACACTTGCATTTTCATGGCCTGAAGAATTAGGAAGAGATAGAACCTGACCCTAGAAATTAAGTGCTGTTCCCTTAATTACCTCAATGAAATTTAGGATTAGAAAAGTTAAGAAATTCATTTAAGACTCAAAACCCATTCATCATAATTGGAACACAACTGAACTAGTCTAAAAGATTAATGTGAAACTTGTGGATGAGACCAACAGTGAAACTCCTATAAATCTAACCCAAGCATTATAATGTGCATTTGCAAGACTAAAGAGTCCCCAGAAATATTTTATGCTAAATTAGTCATTTAGAAAGTTCATACTGGATTCTATGCTACAAGGCTTTCAATTGATTTCTCAAAGATCTGAAACTGATGCCAATTCCAACAATAGTGTCTGTAGTAAGATCCTGCAACTGAAAAATTATCTCTGCTTCCTAAGTTAGTGGGGAAATTGCCTCCTGAAATAAATTTTGAATGTAATTTATTTGGTATGACACTGAGGTGATTTTCACTAATTCATTGATAATGACTAGGCATTTCTCAATTAAGGCAGCCTCATCTGAACCTTATCAGTTTCAAACAGCTGTTGTTTGAACTTGGGGTAACAGAGGAGAGAAGGTTAGCTATTAAAAGATATACAAATGTGTAACACAATGGTCTTTGATTCACGTGACTTTCAGGAATGCTCCTGAAATTTGCAAAAGGGATTTTTTAATTTACAGAATGATTTAATTTTAAATGTCATTTAATCTTAGAACTGGGCTTCTACAGAAAAAGATATCATTTTTTAAGTTATCTTAAATTCCCAAGACTGATTTATACAAAATGTAATTCCCTCAATTCTGAGACATTAATACAAAAAGAAAACCATTTGCTTAAAAAAGAAAGATGAGAATTAAAAGTCAAGATCACAGAACCAACAATTTTAAATAGTATTTTTGCCTATATTATGTGAAAATTTACTAACTTTTAAAAATTGAACACTTTGGCTCATGTTAATGCAGCATATTGATTAATGCCTACTTATCACATTCAAGCTTGATTATTCAAACTTCCTATTTCAGGATAATTATTCCTCTGAAAGTATATGATGAATTTGGCAATTAACACCTTTCATAAAGATTCAGAACTAAGAATATTTATCTTTCTTACCTGAGGAAGAATGACATTGAGAATATAAAATAACCATATATAGTTCAAGAAATCATTTAAAACTCAATAATATTGCTTCTGAAATGGCTTTCTAATATTTTCAATAACATTCCTATTGCCATGTCTTATCACATTACATATACATAGATCATGTCCTTGCAAAGAAGAACAGTTAGTCATAGGGAGTCATTTGCCCATGTAAATCACAAAAGTGAATCTTAGCACCATTTATATAGCACCCACTCTGGTTTGCCCTTGAATTATAATATTCTTCATGGTTTGGGTCCAGTCTATTATAGGTCTGTAATAAAGTGTCCAGACCAGCCATTACTTTGTTATAAACCTATTGCTTCTAGTTGTCTAGAACTAGATGGTCTCTAAATACAATGTTAATAGATTTGGTCTCACCAACTAACTCGGTTGCAGTTCCATGCATTCAGGGATCAAATATCATTCTTCTCTTGGAGTCTGTGAGCAGTAACCAGGAATAACATCTACTTTGCTATATCTTTTCAAACTTCTAATCATTGAGTTTCTCTTCACAAACAAAAATGTAATCAACAGACTTACTCTATTATTGATCTACTTACTATATCTATATTAGTACTGGATGGTTAAATACTGTGATTTATTTGGATTTCTGTTAACTGGCTTATTTTCTCATTGGGAGATGCTATGATATTTTGAGCAGGACAATTCATTTAGGTTTGGCACATCATGGTCCTGCCCATAAAAGGCCATTAGCCTGCTCCAGTTACTGTGACAGCCAACAAATGCCCCACACATTTGCAAAAGCACCCAGGATTGCCTGTTTTTTTTTGTGTGGGGGGGGAATCCAATCTTTTTATAGTTAAAGTTCTCTTCCTGTGGCCACCTCCACATCCAAACCTATAGAAAAACCCCAAGAGGGGAGGCAGAGTGTGGGGAAACCTCTGTGCTCTGCCCTCTGGTCTGGGCAGTGCCAACAGGGTGGGTGCATGGGGAGGGGAGACCAACAACTCCACCTGCAGAGGAAGAGCCAGTGTGGAGAATCCTAGGTCCACTTGTGACTTAGTGATGAGCTGTGGTTCTGTGGCTGAAACCTTCATTAGTCGTGGTTGAGTGCTGGCATGAAATGCTCAGACCCTGCAGTTATACTGTGGATTCACCCACTAGCACTGATTTCTACTGGCTCAATATCCTAAGGCACATTGTTTAACGTTCCTAGTTCTAATTTTTCCAATTGGGCAATACAGAGTGGATGACAATCATTAATTTTATAGGTTCTTTAGGAGTTTTAAACTAGGTAATATGTTTTAAGTTCTTAGCATCATGTCTGCCACTAACTTTATTTTATTATTACCTATAGTATGAGGTTTGCAACATGTGTTGAGATTTGCATATTATACTTCTATAAATGTATGATGGTCTTTCTTACTGAAATTAGGATGTGAGGAAATTAGGAAATGAGTTCTAGTTGTATTAAAAATCATAAATGCAAGTTATTAACATTGGTTAACATGGAAAATTGAACACTGTAGCTACCACCTTCACAACTTTATATGTCTATATATTTTAAAAGAATACCTTTATCAGGTTAATATGAACTGTGGGGTTTTATTTATCCTTACATTAGTTCAAATAAAAATTGAATTACCTAGTTATCAAAAGAATTACAATTAAATCAGAAGAGCTATGAGACAGAAAATAAGACTTTACAATATCACAATCAAAGATTTTGTTGTTGTTTTTGATAATGCTTAGATATCCCAACAGCTGCAGAGCCATGTCTAAGGCACAAATTATGAGTGAAAGGGACTTAAAGACCATTTAAATGTTAATTTGGGGGAAGACAGTGATTAATTTTTAATCTCTAGATCTATAGCACAAAGTAAATACACAGTTTTAGATTATTTACCTAGTTGAATCAATTATGAAAATTATTATTTACAAAATGGCTTACCTTCCATAATCACTATCTAAGATGAAGCTGACATTGTGATGACCTGGAATTAATTAAAATACACAATCACCTAAATTCTCAATCACAGGAGAACAATAAAGTATATTATAAAGCTGATTTGAAAGCAAAGAAAATAAATTTAATATGAAAACTGTAATTACACAGCTATTTCTCCTCAAATGACAACTGAACTATCTTAAGCAAGCACCTACTTTAAAATATACATGAGATGTCTCAAAATTGTATCTAGAAAAACCTGATAATATATAATAATGAATGAAGAATAATAAAAGAATATATATGTAGCCATGTTATCCTCAGATTTCTTTCATTCATTCGACAGCTATTGAATTAGGTGGGACACTGTGCTAGGGGTTGAGAGATGCAGGGTGAGAACACAGTTTACTACTAACAGAGCATATTGTCTAGTGAAACATATAGTCAGTCAAGAGCAATGACAGAGGGAACTAAAAATTGCGATAAGCTATCAAGGAAAAGAAGAGTGAATTTTGAGAATGTACTATCAAAGAAGGCTTCTTTGAAGACATGACAGTTTATCTGAAATTCTCAGGATGGAAAGCTTGCAAATACTCTGAGACAAAAGGGAGTGAAGCTCATTTAAGAACTAAGAGATTATGATAGATGTTTGCTGGACCTATTTGGTAATCATTTCACAATAATGTAAATCAGACCATCGTGCTGCATGCCTTAAACTTAAATACGGTGATAATACATCAATTATTTCTCAATAAAACTGATAGAAGAAAAAGAACTAAAAGATTTGTGTCTGGAGTACAAAGAGCAAGGGGAAAAATAGCATAAAAGAATGCTACAGGGAAAACAGCTAAATTAGCAATGGAATGATTTCTGGATGACAGAAAAAGAAAAATGAGAAATTTGAAGAAGCTTACCTTAAATGTGAATTTAGGAAAAAGGTAATTCATATATGTTTACATGAAACTGACAAAAGCAAAGGTAAAGAGGAAATGCTAATAAAAAAAAGTGAGGAGGTAACAGGAGAGGTCTAGGAGGATACAAAACAAGGGAATAGAGGCAGGCATTTCTGAGAGTTACGAAGAATGATGATCACCATTTACCAATGTAAGTTCCTGTTGTCTTACATATCATGGACCCCATGTCTCCATTTGGATGATCTAGTTTTAGACCAAACCTAATAAAATATACATGTTAATGTAAGTTTACACTGACACTAAAATTTTAAAACATGTGCTTCCCTTAAAAACTTCATATGAATTTGAGAATACATATTAGGATAGGAATTGTTGCTGTAACAAAAATTTCTGTGAAATGAAAATATTTCCCAGCCTTGTTGAAGATATTTGAATAAAACTTCATTTAACAATTAAATATTTTGTAATTAATTTGGCCATCCCCACTGATAGTGCTTTTAAAGATTTTAAAATACTACCAGGTGAAACAATTATTTGATAAAGATATTCCTCAAGACATTTTCTAATAATATAAAAATAGTTCATATCATACTATACTGGAGACAATAGGGGATATCAGGTTGCTATATAAATGAGTGGTAATTTACTATATAAAATGTTATAATTTATACTATATTATAAAGCAGTCAGCTAGTTAGTATTGTTACAAATTACTATCTGTGATATGTTCATATCTACTATTTATTTTTCTAAAGAAAATTATTTGAATTACTTACAAATTGTCAGATTGTGGTATGAGAAGCTCACAGGGCATTCCTCCAATATAAACTCTGTATAGACATTTTATTGGAAAAGATCAAATTATGTTTAGTAAATTGTATCAAAACCCTCATCTCCCACCAATCTGCCACCTTATGTTTTCTTCCCTCCATCACTTATTATTATCCATCACTCATTCATTCAACAAACATCTGTTGCACAGCCATTATGATGCAGTCCCTCTAAGTATTGGAACACATCAGCAAACAAAACAAAGATCCCTGACCTTGCACGATTAATATTCTAATTGGGAGAGACAGACAATAAAGATGATAACCATAATATATTTGTTATATTAGTAAGTGGAGTAGAAATAGAAGTAGGAGTAGGAAAACATAGAAAGAGGTAATGGGAACTCTTCCACCTGTTCAATTAATTCAAATACAAAATATAATTTTGTTCCTTGTAACGTGCAATATGTTTCCTATTATGGGAATTAAAAAAGGTTCACAGCAGAGGCCCCACAAAGTAATCAATATGAAGAAAACATCTAACAGCATCAGCGCCACCAAAATGGGAATAAGAAGCTGAGAGGAGGCAGGGTAAGGCCGCGGGGAAACATTGCCTCCGCATTGCCCCAGCTGATCAGGTTGACCCATTGCATTAAAGCTGCTAGAATCTGATGCTGTTGGAGGCTTACTTATTCTCAGTACCCAGAATAACCACCCAGCTTTTGTGACAGCAAATCCCAAACTCGAAGTAAGGGCAGATACAAACCTAAACTCTAAAAAATGACCTGTTTACAGAAAATTTTGAACTTTTTAATGTACTTTTACACAAAAACCCTTTCATTTTATCATTATATTGGGTTTGTAAAGCAACATAATTATTGCAACCACTTTAGAGATTTATGGATTCATACTCTTCTAACCTCCTGCCTTACTGCACCTAAATATTAAATTGAGCACCTACACTTTTAGGCACTTACTATGTTTAATCCTTACAACCACCTATGGGTTAAAACTACTATGTCTCCATTCTAAGATGAAAAGAACTGAAGCAGGGAAGTTACAGCCAGAAAAGCGTGCAGCAGGAATTCAAATACAGAGAGCTGAGTTCTTGTGTGAGTTCTTAACCATACCTAGTAATTCCCACAGTGGTCTGCATTTGCCTACCTATGGTAACACTACCTTATTTGGCCTTGAGTACATATATTTTAAATTTTTTCTCCTCTAATCTTTTAGACCAAAAGCTCTTTAGTAGGCAACAGGTCCTTGAGACCATCTGCATATCCTCTACAATATATCCCTGGTCTGAATTCAGAGCTTTGGCTCAAGTGACAAGATTAAGAGAAGCAGAAACAGCTTGAGCAATCTGGTCTCCTGACTTCCTGCCCAGGACATGGCCCATCGCTTCCTGTCAGGCACAGTGAAATGTCGTGGGCACCCTGGTGTCACAATTAACATGGTAGAAACAAGGTAAATGCACCCCTAAGACCTTCACCCCACCCACTGACAGATGTGTGAACATTTTTTTCTACCTTTATATGTAGTATCTCAGGGTTCCCAGAGTATAAGGGTTGGGTAGTCTCACCTCTGAGGTCCCTGCTGACTGCAATTCTGTGATTTCATGAAATAATTTCTGTCTATTCCTTTGTATTAAACAGAAGTAAATTTCAGTTACAGTGTGGAAAAAAAGGAATCTCTTTGAAAGTTAAACTTTCTATTTCCTGGCATTGTGATGGGAATGGATTACTTAGAAAACCCCATCTAAGATTTGGAATATAAACCATCCATAACACTCAATTATACAGAAGCTGACAAAAACTTTATGCTAAACTCTCCATATAAAAAGTGTTAAATATTTATTTCCTTATTTAATTCTTTTATTGTATATAAGGAATCAATATGAACATTTCCAGAGTACTACAAATGCATGTGTGATTTTATTGAGCGTTCTACCTCATAGAATGCCACTTACCTCACCTTAATTTCACTTTGTAAAACTAAATTGCCTTGTTCTAAAAAATTATGTATGCTATGTATGTGTATATATGTACATATATATCACCTTTTAGTATTTAAAAGCTTTCTAATTGCTGTCTGAATTGTTATTTAATTTACCCCTTTGTCTGTTTTATACCTGTATTCAATAAGCATGAAGCACCTAGAAAGCCATGATACAGATTCTGTACTTGCCTCTGTAGGAAATAGAGCTCCCGGTCTTTTCAGGCAGGACTGAGATAACCCCACCTATGCTATAGGAAGATAATGCTACTATCAGTGCTAGTTTCCCATCTAAAATGTGGAAAATTATTTTTTGCTGTTAGGTAACTAGCCAATGTTACCATCTGGTCTGTAGCTGGTAAACAGAGAAGCCAGGATTTAAACCAGAGCCCATTAAAGTCATCGTTATTGACCATTCTGAGTTTAAGCATTCTCCCCACACCACAGTGTAGTAGAAAAAGGGCCAAATTGCATGTTAGGAGGCTTGAGTTCTTCTCCTGACCTTGACTAAGCTGTGGACTTTCAGGTGTGCACGCACACACACATACACACGCAAAAATGAGGCAGTTCAATTAACAAAGTTATCCAATAATAAACTTCTATGACTAATTCAAGGCCTTCAAGAAGGCCTCTGTGTACCTTCTATTAATAATACCCACCAAAGACAAAGAAGGAATTACGACACTCCCAAAAAGAAAGGAATATCGGCCATTGCTTGCATGTCAGTGAACCATCCAACAGCCTGTTTTTCCCGTCACGTTGTGATGCGATGGCATTGGACCTATTTATTTCGGGATATCATATCCCATCTATAAGTCATAATAACACATTTTCACATAAAAATTTTACCTCAAAATTCTAACATTCTTCCCATTTGAGCTCAGTGCAGTATTACTTCCATAGACATCAGTGAAGAGTCTGCCTTGGATTGTTATTAGGGTACCTACAGACAAGCAAAAGTTTGTGTAAGATTATTTACCCATATACCCAAACACTTAATACCAAAACTTTAAACGTTTCCCCAATAAAATCAGCATCCAGACACTTAGATCCCATGTTCACCACTGCAGTTTAGCATTGTTCTGAAAGTTCTAGAAAATACAATAAAACATGAATGAATATTTGTTGTATTAAAGAGGTATCTGTAATCAGTATTTATAATTTAAAGAGGTTTTTCATGGAAGACAGAATGAAATATTCAATAAATATTTCTTGGGTCATGGGTCATGTATTTGAAAAAATAAACAAGATCCCTGCTTTATACCAAAAAACAAAACAAATCCTGTTGAAATAAAAATTAAATAGAAAAAATTAAAAAGTAAAAGCTCTTGAAAAATAAGTGAAAACATATAATACTTATATAATCAATGTGGCAGGGTCTCCTACAGCATTAAAATGAAGGAAGAATAGCAAAGGTTAAGATCTATAGATTTGACTAAGAAAATTAAAAGTATCTGAATGACAGAAAAATAATTAATGAATTTTAAAAACAAATGATAAATTAAAAAATACTTCCCACATTTATGACATGTAATATCATTGAAATACTAAGAATTCTTACAAATTAATGTGGAAAAAACAGACGAGACTTCATATAAACTAAGGAGATGAAGAATTGTAAAGAAGAAATATAAATAGTCAATAGTACAAATTTAATTGCATAATTCAAAGAATTGAAAAAATTAGAAAAACTACCATATTTTTCATATAAATAATTGAAAATAATTAGTTCCTGGCATTGTCAAAGTTACAGAAAAGAGCATTCTCACATATTCCTGTTGGGATTATGTTCTGGTATAATTACAGTTACAATAATGAACACTGGAAGCCAGCTAAATGTCCAATAGGGGGAAAGTTTAAATACATTATAGTAGATTCAGATATAGCCATTGAAAACCTTTTCTTAATTTATAATAAGAAATATGATATATATAAATGTTCAGATACAATAATTTTTTATCCTAAAAAGCAAACTAATTAATTATTACAAGCCAAAAAGCTAGTTGAGGTATTCTGTAACAGACCTGGAGTTCCCGATAAAGGTGTTATGCTTCTTATTGTCGGGGTTCTGAAACTTTTTGCCTGTAAAAGTAATATGTTGAAAAGCAGTCTTATCTCTATTTGGTTCCTAGTTTTATGTACATCTCTGCTTATTACATTATTTATATTTAAATAATATCCATAATATGACTGTCAAAAGATTCCTTTTTATGTGTAATAAACTTAAGAGAATTATTCTGATATTCAAGATTTTTTCCTTATTTCTTAAAAAAAAGCCTCTTTCATTTCAAAATATTCCTAGCTGAGAATTTTAAAATTCAATCATCCTTTTGTTATCAGGGCAAATCAAACCACAGTAATAATGCTCTCTGGTAAAAACGTTTAGGAATTTGGTGGAATAGAATTCCAGAAAGCCTTCTTTCAGTCAAGCCCATGAAGGAGAAAATAACAAAGCATATTTCACAAACAGAAGCAAAATTTGGAAAAAGTCCATTAAAGTAAACTTTACTAACTAACCTCATGATAATTTCCTAGAGCAAAACACGTATAATTCTTAAGAATTGTGATGCCAAATGGGAACTGTGGGGAAGCAGGACCCCCGGGAGGCCAGCAGTGTGATGGATTCATAAGTAGTTTAAATCGGGGCTGCTTTAAGCCACTGTTTGGGAGTTGTGCTGTGTAATGCTGGTTAACTGACACAGGAGGGACTGTATGTGCTTGATTCTCATTCCAGTGTAAGAACAAAACAGATAATAGCTAAACTTTACAGATTCAGAAATAGCAATAAATGTATTTCTAAATAAGACTATTATTTAAAGATATCACAATAAATAATAGGAAATACTACTTCTATATACATTGAAAAAAAGTAGGCTTCTTATTTAGAAATATCACAATGAATAGCTAAAGTTACTGAAATTCTCTAGACAATTAGAATGAGGTGGGGTGAGTAGTCAAGGAGCTGCTGTTTGTTTTTAATTAACCTTGTAGAACCAGTTCAGTTTTTCATTATGTCCATGTACAACTGTGCACCTGTACAAATGTAAAACTTGTACCAAAAAAAAGCCACAGTACAAATGAGAAACCTAGTGGAGGACATCACTTAGCTCTGCTTGGGGGAATTTTAAGAGTCCTAAGCAAAGAACAGGACTCACGAGGCAGAGCAGAGTAAGATGTATGGGACCTTGGCCAGGGAGAATATTAGAAGCCACTGTTGGAAACAGAACTGGTTCCAGACTGTGGTATAATAAAGGAAACCTTCAGGTAATGGTGAAGGAGGAATAGTGAGCAGGGGAAAGACATAATAATATTTGTCTTTTGAATGGTGCATCTGAGAATGCATGAGGAAGGGTAGAGAGACCTGTTAGGACGTTACAGTGAAAACAGGTAAAAAATGACTAGCCTAGAATCAAAACAAAGGCCATGCAGGAAAGAAGGTAAGGAGAAGGTGAATTTAAGAGCTAATTTAGAGAGAAAGATCATCATGATTTGGTTTCTAAACAGCTATGGGGCTGAAGATGTTGGCAAGAAGAAACTAACTATGACAACAGGGGTCTAGCTTGAGATGGGGAGAAATACCAGACAAAAAAAAAAAAGGCTTAAGGAGGCATAGAGAGAAATCCAGTTTGAGATTTTCTGAACTTAGGTTGCTTTGGGGCTATTTAGGTATTGCTTACCAGGAAATAAAACATGGCACAATATTTAGGGAGAGAGAAGGGAGCCAAATATTTAGGAATTATATTTGGCAATGTATTTTGCCATAGAAGCTTCTTGAGGACAGAAGGTTATTATTATTTTCCTCAGCATTTCATCCTACATTGCGGCATTGTAGAACTCAGTAACTGACAACTTAAAACACAAATACAATTTTAAAAAATATATGGGATGCTCCTTAGAAGAAAATGTATTATTGTAAATGCCTATATTTCTGGTAATTAAATTTTAATGGTTTCTATGCTATAGGCAGTCACATTTTATCTCATTGCATTAGAATAAAGAAAGGAAAAATAGTTATGTTTCTATTTAAAATGAAGGTAAGTCTAATGAAAATAGGAAAAGGGAAATCAAACCAAGAGCAGGAATGGAGAAAGAAAAAATGGTGTAAATGAGAAAATCATTTGAAAGTATTTGTCTAATTCATTAATAAAATTAAAGGGGGAAGGAAACAAGTAAGAAATGGTACAAGATTCCATTACTATAGAAGATAATTAAACCTGGGTGAAATTATCCTTAGTTACATGCTAGTATATTTTTAATGTCAAAATAGATAACAATCTGTAAAATTAAAAAAAATTAAAACCCCCTTCTCCAAGAAACAGAACACAGATCAACTATATGAAGGTTAAAGAGGAGATCCCACATACATTGAAGCTGCATGCCCAGCTATTGATGTGACCTCTGCAGGTATTGTTTTCTGTAATAGGAACTCCATCCACAGTGACCCTAACAGTATAGGAATCTTCTGGCATTGCTCTGGAATAAAAATGAAAAATACATAAGGAACACAGTAATATTTTTCTTTAGTATATACTATAAAGAAAAATGCTCCCCAGACAACATGTCATTTTGAAAAGAGTATCTAAAATTCTAATTAATGTACAGTTAAAGTCCATTCTATCTTACGGAAAGATGATCTCAATCCTGAAATTGTACTGCAAATTCTAACATCATGGACCTCAGGCAAATGCTTATTCTAAGTGCATTAGTTCTTATTAAAAAGTGAAATGAATACAATAATAAATATAATAATAATCATCTAAAATAGTAACATATCACCTTGGTACAGTTATTTCATGCTTTCCTAAAGAACATTTTAATCAAGTTTCTCCTTAAGTAAGCTTTTACTGCTGAAAAACTGCCAACAATACTAATAAAATGTAATTCTCTGTAATATGTGCTACCTGTTTTAATATTGAAAGCTGCAATTTAAAACGAGTATTTTTCCCATAAGTTGCTCATAACAAGCATCATTTTGGGCTGATAGTAGAGAACTTAAAATGTCACTATACAAAATGATCATCTTTAATCTTAATGACTATGTCAAGGTTTTGAACAAAATTAATCAAACCAGACAGGAAAGCATAATTTTGACATTTTCAGGACCATCATTACAATTTAATAGGTGCCATTTATCTTCTAAAAGAGATCAATAATGATGAAATAATAACTTCAATAACCTGGAAAAGGATAAAGAATATATTTTATCATGTTAATGTGGAAAGGGCATTATAATTAAATATAATAGAGGTATAAAATAGTCTAAACATCATGAAATCAAAAGTACCTGATAATAAAGAAATATTACAATAGCCAGAGAAATAAAACTAACATACTAATATAAATATGTATAATACTAATATGAATAACTGTGACTCTGATATGCTGAAAATGATGTTATTGAGGATACTTTAAAACATACCTAGTATAGCATGTAATTTGAGTTGAATGACTTGCATCTTTTTCTACATCACAAGAAATTGACTGAAAAGAAGAAACTAATTGCACACTGTTTCCCAACTCAGCATTATCAACTCCATAGTTAAACTGGTTTGCTTGAGCAAAACCTGGAAAAGTAAAAACACTCAAAATTATTATTAATGGAATTGTTTTCAAAGAGCTAACAATGGTCATTCAGCATTGAATCATTCAATAATTAATAAGGAATAGTACTGAAATTAGCACTTGACCTATTCCATATTTATCCCTATGATTGTAATCTGCTTCAAATGCATAAAAATTAGCCTTTAATTAATTCATTCATAAAAGTAATGTTTGAGAGCCTATTATTTGTCAGGCTCTGTTAAATACAGTGGATTCAAATAGCTTATATTCCAGTGGTAAGGATGGGGAAAGGTGGAGAAAATAGACAATATACAGTTAGTGTGTGGGGGCAGGGGGAGATAATGACTATGAAAAAAGGCAGGTTAAAGGAGATAGAAAAAATAGGTAAGGGGAACACTGTTTTATAAGGGATAGGATCTTTACCTTGAGTTCCTATAAGGCAAAATTTGAGGTGAAGACTTACAAGAAGACAGTTTATTTGGGTGGTGATCTCTTAGGGACAAGAGAGAGTAAAACCTGAAGAAAGAAAACCTGGGCCACTGAGGTTAGCTGGGGCTCAGTCTCACTGGGAACTTGAAAGGAAAATATAGACTGCCTCTCAGAATCAAAGAATCAGCAGCAAGAAGTATTTATTCATCACATCCTGTCCTTAGTTGAGGGAGCTCCCTGGGGGACATAACATCCTGCACCCTCAGGCTGCACAAAGGTACACAGGGTTCCAGTGTCCACAGTCACTGCATCAGAGACATGCAATGGACAAAAACATGCTGTGGAAACTGGAGGCAAGAGCTGGAAGCATAGATTGAGTCAGTGAATATGGAGGGCAATTTGCCACAGCTGTGGCTAGAATTAGAGGTGCGAATAAGAGGATGTGAGGCTGAGCATAAAAGGGATCTGATACAGTGGACTCTGTGCACCATACAGATATGCTCATGCCCTACATTTTAAGTACAATCCATGATCAAGTCTCCTAGATAGTGGTGAGCTGAGAGCTCTGTTGAAGATTTAATATAAGGGGGTTAATGGGATAAGCTATAGGGGGTACAACTATAACTGGTCCCGAGGCTATAAGGAGTATCCCCCATGTGCCCTCTCTATGACCCACTGCAGATTTCCTTACCCTTAGCTGGCACCTCAGCAATGGAGTGACACTACCCTTCATCCTAAGGGTCTGAGCCCTTAGCTACCTTGTCCCTGTTGAGTTGTAATTGCTGCAATTGCACATTCACAGTTATCACTGGTCATGCAAGCCATGTCTCCCCATGAATACCCTGAATTCCAGACCTTCCCTAGCCTGATCTACTTTAGGTAAAAGCAACCCTACCTCTTCCTGATCATCAGAATCTGTGATCGCCAATAGTCTGCTAATTATGTTTGGTGAATTCAAACTGATCAGGTAGTAGTGGTCATTTCAGGTCAGTGGAATCCACATTGGGATCCCTGGTACAAGCATTCTCTAACTGGAAACACAGACCCAGATTCAGTGGAACTTAATATGCAAGGACACAAAGCACAGATCCCATTTCTGGATCACTAGGAGTGACAATAACAGGGCGTAAACGGTCATTTCCAGGTCCACGTATTTTATCTACTGGGAAAAAACAGCCTGTATCTGCCATTGGCTCAGTGCATACAGCATGTGCTGGAGGATGGCAGCCCATCACACAGGATGTTGTTCCCAAGCTGGGATCATAGCCCTGTCTTTCATAGGCTTTTCCATCATTCTACTAGCCACAAGTTCCAGTGAGCCAGGTTTTGTGGTCATGTGCCCATTATCACAGCTTTTTAACTGTGAAACGGGTTCCTTGTTCTAAGAAAAAAAAAATGTCAAACCCAGAGATGTACATTTAACTCTTTAAGTCCTATGTATATATATCATTGTTAGAAAAACATAAATGTTATTAAATTGTCAGTTATTTGGAAGTATTTCAGGAAAACAATCACGGCTACAAAATGTGCTCACATTAAATGACCTTTTGAGTTGAAGTGGCTTAGTTGGGGTTGCCCGATTATCTGTAGTGTGACAGCTTTTTAAATTATTGAACATTTTCAGTGTTCTACAAAGATCCATTAGAAAACATGAATATTGTCAAGTTCAGCGCAGCACTGGAAGCAGAACCTCCCTGTGCCAGATGCTCATTATCTGCCCAAACCCCTGAACTCCAACTCTGGTAAAGTTGCCTCTAGGTGCATGTTTAAAAGAAAGGGCATTTGAATCCTGATGTCCTGGCCTAAAATCCAAGCTCCAGCATTTCCTTGCTGTATGATATTTGGCATTATAGCCTTACATATAAACCTTCAGAGTCTTCATCTCCTCTTCAGAAAAATTACAATAATCTAATTATATCTGCTCTTATTATTAGCCATAAAAATCCTGAGATTTAGGTTCACTATTAATATCGTTCTTTAAAAATAACAACACTAGTGTAAGTGGGTGGCCAGGATTCAAACCCAAGTTGTAGATGCCAAGCTGGCACATATGATATTCAGAGAAAAATAATATTTAAAAACATATTACAAAGCTATTACCTGTTACCATGTGTAACTTCTTCCAGACCCTTTGTTCTTAGCTCCTCTCCTATCCTTTACAGGTAGAAAAAAATGAGCAAACTCAGTGGAGGGCAGGGTTTTTCATAAACACTACTTTCTTCCTCCAAATGTAAACCTTACCCGAACAGGACTCATCCAGCATAGGCTAGAACATCAGTTTAATGTGTGAAAGATACTTGCATTGAATTTGCAGTTTTGATTCTAAGAAGGCAGTTAATGATGAAACAGAAATGTGAGAAGATACATGAAAACACGGAAAAGCCAGCTACTTGTAAACCCGCTCTTTCCTTTTGCCAACTTCTTATCTTTGGAGTTCACGCTGAGTTTGGAACACAGGGAAGGGCTGCTGGCAACTAAGTAAAGAATGGAAAGTTTTACTTGTGGTGTGGCTCAGGATGCGATGTGTGTATTTATTTTCCTATTAGGCACATGTTGTATCAATAGGCACATGTTGTATCAATGATGTGGGGACAGAGATCTGTTCTTCAGAATTCCAAAGACAACTACAATTCTAAAAGACAATACCAACAAAAGGTGATATTGTTTTAGTTCAGAAGTTTTTTTATATATATAATAAATATATATTATAATTATATTTTATTATAAATATTATTATATATACAATTACATATTATAGTTACATATGTATCCTAGGAGTAAAGTCTATGGGCAAATATAAGCCAAACCAATATGACTTATAAATATTATTATTATCAATTCTTTTTAAAAAATAAAGAAATAGTCCTAATTGAGCTAATTCCAAGGAATTATAAATACAAATGTACCACCTTTAAGATTTTTTAATTTAAAAATATAATTCTACATAAATGAGTACAAAGTGGATACCTCTGGAAGTACTCCAAAGCACAAAGATTACAGGAAGGGCTGGGTGCAGCCTGGAAACATAAAGGTTGAGGCTTCACATGGAAATTTTTCACATGTTGGTGCATTTTTTTCTTTTGCAGAAAAACTGGAGACAGACTTGCCAGGCACGCAGATCTGGGTCTCCTGATAGCAGCCTGCTCTATCATGGAAAATGTCAGTGTTGTGAAAGCTAGCAGTTGTCATGTACCATGCAGGCTGTTTTGGTTTCTCTAGTTAAGAAAAGCAGGGTTGAGAGTGTATAAACCTATTTATTTAAAAGTTGTAACATTCAAAACAATGGGAAGGAAAGGTGCAGTGTGATGGAGGCTAACTCCTAAGGAGTGAAACCAGACCAATCACATGAATGCAAATGGATAATAAACACAAAAGTGCACTAATTTATGGAGCAAATACTATATTACAAATGGGGACCTTAGACACATCACCTTATTAAATATTCACCATACCTCCAACAGGTAGGAATTAACACATCCCATTTACCAATGAGAAAGCTGAAACTAAGAGAAGTAACTCACTCGTCACATAGTGGGAAACGGCAAAAATGAAATTCAAAGCCTGTCAGTTCAGACTGAAGTCCTTGTGCTTTCCATAATACTCTAGAAATTACATAATTCAACACTTCAGCTAAAATAAAATATATACATGTACCAAACACTGTAATAGGGAAATACCAAAAAAAAATCCAAAAAGTAAAATGTTACTCCTTTCATCTTACTGATTTTTTTACATAAGGAGAAATATCAAGGAAGACAATTGAGAAATACAAGTTATGAATATAAAGTAATAAAATCAACAAAGTTGGAAACACTCCAAACTTGATATAACACTCATCATATCAGCCACACTAGAAGGAGATAAAATTACTTCTACAATCATGCTATTGCTCAAAACACTTTTACATGAGAAAAATTGTCTTTGGCTCCAGAAGCACAGCTGTTAGAATAAAGTAATGCAGTAGCAAATTTTTGCTTGTCAAGTTGAGCATTATGTTTGGAAATAGCCAAAAGTCATTTGGATACACCAAAATATTGACAGAAGATCTTCTAGAGTGGAAATTTCAGAGAACTCACTTTCTATGTCAAATATTTGTATAATATTTTACTTTTTCATCATGACTATTACAAAAGTAAAAGAATTTTATAATCATATGGGACCAACATTTAGGTAATCATCAAGCTTTTATAATTCCATTTAGAAAGTGTTCTTGTGTGATTAAGTAGCTCTGTGTGCAATTCTAAACACTGAGTCTAGGTGGGAGATGGTACTGATGGATTATGTGAATGGAGGTCCTTCAAATAAATGTTCAAGTACCATATTCATGGAGCTCTGGAGGTCTGGTGTGTTTTATAAATTCATTATCTTTGCTTTGTGCGCATTCTGTATATATCATAAGGCCCCCAAACTTACATAAAACAGTACTTGGACTCAGCCTCTGAGAAAGACATATGCTAACACATTTAGTCACCTACAGTGTGTGGTTAAAGCAAGCAGAGGAGAGACAAATCAGAGTGGGGCTGCAGTTACCTGCAATTCAAAGAGGATTTAACTATTCTATAATTCTCTGCCCAAAGCATCCAGAAATTGAGGCTGATGGGAAACTAGAAATTCTCCATGACACTGTGTTTTGTGAGTAAGAGGGTCACCTGAGCATTACAGCCCCAGAGTGTCCACTAAAGAGCAAAGGTTATAGTAGATTAATACAGATGTTCTTGTAAAATGCCTTAAGAGTAGAATTTTTTCTTAGGTTTTTTTTTTCCTATTACTAGTTAGGGACGATCTGGGTCTACATACTTAAACTCAAGCTATGGTTCCTGGATCAAGAAAAATTTAGGTCTCGATGTAGTAGGAAATAACTAAGTAGTTTTATTTTGTTTTGTTTCAATGTGAGCATTTCTCTCATAACATTTAAGTCTCTATTAAAAACCCAATAGCTTTCAAGCACACTAATACCCTAACAGTAATTTACAATACAAGGGACTTATGGATAAAGACATTTTGAAAATGGTCTTCAACAAATATACTGTCTCCAGGTGTTTAACTCTGAAAAAATACAACAAAACTTAATCCAAAAATACTGTTCACAATTTAGAGGTATATACTATCTTACGTATATCACTGAGAGATTGAATTGTGCAGAAATATTACTTAGAAGTATTGAAAGACATTAAAATATATTTGACAGAATAATTAAATATCTTGCTTTGTCAGTTCCCTGACTTCAAAACTTCTTATTTCTATTCTTAAAGACTGAAGCAGCTTTTATTAATATCCTTTAAAATTTTTCCTTCCCATCCTTCAAAAATTCATAAGCATCCGAATACTGCTATCATTTGGACTGCAAAGGCCTTACAGCTGGAAGAACCACATATTTCTATTTAACCCTAAGAACAGTTGCTGTTTGAATATATTCACTGATTAACTACATTTTCATCCCAAGTCCAGGCAAGGAGGAAGAGTCATACATAATAACCATGCTGTGATGAAGCACATAAGGACTGGGTGACAGGAATAGGGATCCAAAATTTTGCTTTTAATTGCTTTTCTCCTTCCATTACCATTCTATTTCCCCATCATCCTCTCTTACTAATATACTACCCTCAAAGCCCCCAAAGTATTTTATTTGAAATAAAGATAATTTAAATGTTATTGGACTCGTGAACAACAAAGCAAATAACTGCAGAGTTGAGTTAGAGATGTGCAGACTGAACTGAAAGCAGTTCAGTCATTATAATCCAGATTTGGAGTTAAGCAAGTAATTATACTATGAATTTAGATGATCAGGTCAGTAGAGGCTTTTGGGGATTTCATTAGCTGCCAGAGAAGATAGAGTTTTACTACTCTGGCCAAATGGAGAAGCAACTCTAGTGGATTTTTTTAAGCCATAAATCTCTAAATGTGAAAAAGTCTTTAAGATACCTTAACCTTGGCAAAAAAAGAAAAACAGGGAACCATACCTTCTCCTTTGATAGTCAGCCTTGTTGCTCCATTTATGCTGCCATATTTAGGTATTATTTCTGTGACTTTGGGAATTATTTTGGAGCCATCTGAAATACATTAAAGTACAGTAGAGGTAAAAGCATAAAATACTTTATTTCAAGCATCAAATCTCATGCCACATATTACAATGTTGTATATTGTGAAGATTATAGGGCTGAAAGTTAGTACAGTCATGTTTTATTTTTGGCTGTACTACTAACCAATGACTTAACAGGGAGTTAAGTCATTAACACTCACTGGCTTTATGCAAAGCACTATTTTATGTGTTACAAAGAGCAGGAATAGTACATGATCATTTTCATCATTCTTACCTATCATATTATAAAGCACTTATTAAGCCCTTAATTTCAGACAGTGCCCTACTAACTGCAGTTCCATAACTACAGTCCCATAACTAGCTGCCCACACAATAGCAGACAATGCTGGGGGAAGAGCTGTGGATAAACAGATCATTATAAAAGTACACAAGAAATGCAAAGCTAGATTAATTTTTTTTATGGGAGTTCTCCAGAAAATACTGGAAAACCTACTAGATAAATTCTAAAAGAGCTGTAACACTAGATTAATTTAAAGAATAGTCCAGGTACAAAAAGGAATGTTGTGTTTTAAGAATAAATTATTTCCCATGATAGACTAAGACCTCGGAAAAAATAATTTCTGGGATCTTTTTAGCCTCTTGGTGATAGTAAGTTCTTAATGTAAACATCACTAATTCCTTCAAGAAACCCTTTAGGTTCCTGGGGTTATAAAAATGTGGAACAATCCATCTTTCCAAAATCTTAGCTTAGACAGTACAGAGGAGAGCACAGGGGCCATGGGTGACTCAGGGATGCAGAGGGCATTTCATCCACACTGCTTGGGTCTTACTGGTTTCTCCAGAGAAGGGGTACGCCTGTTGCTCTTGGGGGACAAATATGAATTAGCTAGACTAGGCCAACTGTGGGAAAGATAAAGTGTTCTAGACAGAGGGTGGTACCCATGCAAACACAGGGCTGAGTGAGAGGCTTCTTTGGAGAACTGGAAGAAAAGCTTTACAACAACTCAAAGACGTGCAGGGGACTGCAAGGGTTTATTTTCTGCTTAAACTGTACAGATCTGGTAATGACTAGATCCAGTAACAAATTCTTAGAGTAGATGGAAAATTTAACTGGGGGCACAAAGGAAACCCATAGACATTATTAATTATTGAAATGGATATATTAGAAAATGTTGAAGAAATTACAATTGTATAGTTCATTTCTGCCTGAAAAAAAAATTTAGTGTGGACTTTAATATAATGACAAAAGCTCTCCATCATAAAGACTACTTTGCTTTGTCAGTTCCCTGTCCTCCAGTACCAGTCCTCCAGACCCAGTGCCTCTGTCCTCCGGGTTTGTCTTAGCCAAGAGCCCCGAGGCTCTCCCTGCGTCGGGCACATTGACAACTTGAGCAGAGTTGGAAGAGCAGGAAGCTCCAGCGAGGGCGCTGGATCCTGTCTCCAAGCCGGTGCTGCTCTTCACCTGTCTCAGGTTCATCCTCCCGTTATCTCCACGGACAACTCCAATTTCTTATCTTATCGGTCCCTTCCCAGCACTCTTCTAGGCATTACTCTGAAGGCACAGGGCAGCTGCCCCTGTAAGTGACTGACAAGCGCCACGGAGACCCATTCTTGCCCTACGGACAGATGTTACCCTCCCTTAAGTGGGAAAAGGGACCCAAGAAGAATGTGAGGAGATCTCTCTCTCTCCCCGTGCTCGCGCGCTCGTGTGTGTGTGTGTGTGTGTGTGTGTGTGTCCGTATCTGTCCCTGCCTCTCCTTAGGCCTGCCTCTCAGGGGGTCCCCAGGTTCCGTAGTCCCCAGCATCGCCATGCACCTGCTCCTGCACCCTTGGCCCAGGGCTGCGGCCAGGCAGACCCCACTTTCCCGCGACCCGGGGAACAGGGGTTGTGTCCACACGGACTTTTGCTGCTTGCCTCCCTGGCGCCCCGAATGGGTTACCTGGGTCGGGGTCCGCGGCGCACAGGAGCAGCCCCCAGAGGCCCCAGGATCCCAAGAGCCACAGGTGTCCCATCGCGGCGCGGGTTGCGCGAGTGCACGTCTGCCGCGCTCGGCGCCGGGTCCGCGGCTCTGGCGCTGCGGCTGGGCGGCCGCGCGCAGGCGAGCTCGGCCCCCGAGGCCCGTCCGCCCCGCCCCGGCTGTCTCGGGGCGCCTCTGGGTGTGCGCACCACACACACGCCTTCCGCGGAGAGCGCCGCCGGCCCGCGCGGGTCCCTGATTACCAAACCCGGGTGCTGACGTCCCAGGGCTGTCCCCACAGGTGTACCAGCCCCGCTCCTTCTGACAAGAGAGATCAATGATCAAGTTCTCCCTCAATTCCAACTTTTACTGCTCATACTGGGCCTGCATGCTTTTATTTGCCTGCCTTAGTTATTAATCATCCCCGGTGGGCCTACAAGCCGGCCTAATACATAAACCCCACACATTTTTTCCCCTTCACATTCATATAAATTCATGCTATCCCTTTAACTGACGATTATACTAATAATATACTGATTTCTCTGCATGACCCAAACACACCTAGTGCTTTAGAGACTTCAACTCACATAATCCCAAGAGGACATTACTATTACTATTGATTACTAGTATTATCCTCATTGTTCTAGGCCATACACTGAGGTCAGAAAGTCAAGGCCATACACCTAAGTGTAGAGAGAAGACTCAGAGTGGCTTCAGAGCTGGTGCTCTCGGACCTTCCACCGCCCTCCATTCTGCTGACTTCCGGTGAGGGTTGAGGTGGGGGGGGGGGAGGAAGTAGTCACTGTTTAGCTGAAATTCACATTTCACCCAGCATCCAGTATTTTTACTCAGTAATCTGACAGCTCCAGTTGAAAGGAAAAAGAGAAAAAAACAGAAGAGAGAATTCTAAAATAAGTAAAATAAATACAATGTGTCCTTGTTCTTCAAGAATTGATATCACAGTTTAAAAAATTGTTAGATTTGGTTAATCATATTGAGCCCATAATTTTTTGCAAATTCATATCCCATGTCACCACTCTCCTGAAAACAGTACTTGGCAGGGTACCGCTGCCCTTCCTTCTCTTGGGACTCCAACACAGTTGGCACTGTTGACATCTCTCTTGAAATTCCATTCCTCTGAAGCATCTTGTGTTTCTTCCTACTTCTCTTTCATATTTTCCATCTTACATCTTCTTCCTGAAAACTGGATTTCCTGCAGGTCCTGCTCACCCTTCCCCTGTCTGCAGGACGTTTAGCAGAAATCAACTAATTCAATGCCAATTTGCCAATTATTTGCCAGATTTTCTAAATTTAAGCTTTGTAATATTGTATAGCAATAACTAGCCTTTCCAAGAATAATTCAGCAGCATTAACAAAATATTTGCTTTAGGTTACTAGCCGATGAAATATATACAAGTACATATTTCAATATCAATAACCAAAACAAAATTTAATGTGTGAATTTTTACATGGAACTGTTTGGTTAATTTTGATTTACTTCTGATGGTTTCAAATTAAAGTTACATTAAGTTACCTAAATTAAATGTTGGGTAATTTCACAAAAAAAAGTAATTTAAATGTAATTTAATTCAAAATTCTGATTTTTTCCTAGATGCTTTTGAGTATATAAATCAAAATGGAGTATAAGAAATAGGCTAAATGATACAAAAAAGGCTATTTTAAAGGATTTTCATATTAAAAAAGTAGAAAGTATATCATTCAAAATTATTAATAAATAAATAAGCAGGTGAAAAATCTTGTCCCATTTCATACACTGAAGTGATTTCTAATCAGCAAACATTGAAATGGGTAAACTTTCCTGTGGAAAGAATCCATATTGTTTCCTTGGAACCAGAAAAAGTTGTTATGTAGTCATATAACTAATGATTTAAATTGTATTCATGTGGGTAAAATTGTAATATTTCCAGAATATCTCACCTGGGTTTCATGCATCTGCATATCAACAGGCGTTCCTAAGGAGTGGAGACCTGTAGTTCATCTCCATATCAATGGGTAATTTCCTGGGTGACCCAGGGTTTATCTGAACCTGAGAGGTTGGGGGAAGGTCTTGCTTGCTTCTACCAGAGCAGGAGAGAGCAATGGCCCTGGCTGCAGTGTGTAAGCAATAAATGGGTTTTAAACTTTATTTCTCCTTTTGATTGATCTTGGTTTTAGAGGGGCCCCAGGATTTCCTTTCCCCGGAGATACAAATCATCTTTAGAATATTTCAGACTTTACAATGAAAAGATCATTGTGATTATTAAACCCCTTGCTTTTTTGTTAGTTAAAAAAAAAAAACCTAACTCTAACAAAAGCCTGCCTCTAGGGCCAGCACCATGGGCATACGACCTCTGAAATCTCATGGGTCCCCGGGCTTGGTTTACTGGTGTGATATCACCATCTCGAAATCCTGAATACTTTTTGAGCAAGGGAATCCCCATATTCATTTTGCCTGGGATCTCACAGTTATGTCACTGGCCCTACATGCCTTTATGATGAAAAAAAGAGACAGACTTTAAACTTTTTGATCCCTCAGTTTGAAAGCCATAAGTGATAAGGAGTTAATAGGAGCTCTTGCAGAACCAGAAGGAATAAGGAATTCACTTGCGAATTCCCTTAACTTGGTAAGTGACCTGTGTGCAGGAGCCTCATTTTTAATCTAGACCTAATGATGAGAGATACTGAACAAAATGGGGTAGCTATGAAACAATAGTTTGACTTCAACAAATATACAGTATCCTAGGCATTAAGAATACAGCAGTAATCTAAAAAAATATCCCTGTTCTCATAGAACTTACATTCTTTGTGGTGATAGACAATAAACAATGTAAATAAGTACAATATATACTATATTAGGAAGTAATCTATGCTAGAGAGAGAGAAATAAAGCAGGGAAGAAGATACATGTGTGGGGAGGGAGGGTTGGGGTGGGAGGGGTGCTAAGTGTGATAAAGTTTTAGACAAGACAACCAGGACGCTGTCACAGAGAAGGTAATTTTGAGAGATCATCCAAGTCTGAAGTGAGTTGCTTAGCTTTGTAGATATCTGGGAAAGGGTATTCCAGGGAACTGGAAAAACAAATACCACTGGCATGAGGAGGAAGTGTGCCTGGTGGGTATGGAGCGGGGAAGCTCTAGTGGCCAGAGTGGGAAGGGAATTATCAGAATGATGAAAGACACGAGGTCAGAGGAGAAAGGGAGGAGGGGTAGATCATGCAGGATCATGGACTTGACTCTGAGTGGATGGGAATCCACTGTAGAATATTGAGCTGAAACATGACATGATCCAGCTTATGTTTTCATAGAAACACCCAGATGCTGCTTTGTTGTCCTGGGGGAGATGCAGGGAGATCAATCACAACGCCGATGCAAATAATCCAGGCAAAAGCAGGGTTGCTTGGACCGGATGGTAACAGTGCTGGTTGGTGGTCAGATTCTGGATATATTTGAGAGCTGAGTCGACAGTTTTCTGACAATAAGTGTGTAGGGTAAGAGAGTAAAGTAAGAGTCAAATGTGACTAGGGTTTGGACCTCAAAATCTAAAGCATGGGGGCCATTCACTGTGGGTGAACAATTTTGGAAGGAGTAAATTTGAGAGAATGTATCAAGAGCTCGCTTTTGTGCAAATCAGATTTAAGATCTATTAGACTCCCAAATAAATGTAAAAGAGGCAGTTTGGTCTTTGAATCTGAAGTTCAGGTAAAAAATCCAGGTTGGAGATATCAATCTGAGAATCATGAGCATACATTTTTAAAATGAACCAAAATGAATCATTGATGTGAGCAACAGTATGGAGTTGCTTGTATCAGGCTTGCATGCTTTTGCACCAGCTGCCTCTGCAAACATACCCCACCCTAAAAGGCATGCCGGTGAATGCCTGAACCTGACAACACCATATGTGCTTAGACATGTACTCCACCTTAAATGGCTCAACAGAGGATGCCCAAACTAGATGTGGACTGTACCCTCTTATCTCTGACCCCCAGATGAATGGACTGGACTATATAAGGAACTGGATACAAAGTACTTGTGGCAAGCTCGCCCTAGAGGTCCCTGACACCAGACGACAGACGTGTGCCCTGCAGCTTGCTCCTGCTTATCTGCCCACCTCCTGCTCTGTCATGAATTCGTCACTTCACTGGAACTGTCTCTGCTGTATCACCTTTCCCTTGGGAAAGACAAGAGGCTGATTGGGACAACCTGGAACCTAGCCATCCATTGTGACTGGTATGAGAAATATTGATCTGATATGTGTGATTTTCAGATATGTGTGATCCTCCCTTTGAGTGTTGTGTGAAAAGAAAATGCAAAATAAACTTTGTGATTCGTGCAATGTTAAGGGTATTGAGTTCATTACTCCACTGCCCTGTGGATCCATACATTCTGATCCACTCACATCAATCATCTGAAGAGTAGACTGTATATGAAAACATGAAAAGATCTAAAGACTGAGCCTTGGGAAATGCTAATATTTAATAGTAGGGAAGATGAGGGAAAACAAGCAAAGGCCCTGGAAAGAGAGTCAAAAAGGTAGCAGAAAAATAGGCAAGAGTATTAACTATGCAGCCAAGTAGAAAAGTATTTCAAGGAGAAGGAAGTCCTATCAATTGCTACTGTTCCATCAAGCAAGATGAGCACCCAAAATTGCCTTCAGATTTAACAATGTAGAGTTTATTGAGGACTCTGATAAGAGTTTTAGTGCAGTGTTAAAAGTGAAATCCTGATAGGAGTGAATTCCTGGAAGAATAGGAAGGGATAATTGAGGACCATCTTACAGTCTATCTGCCACAATAAGACAGATTAGTTAGAGAGTCAATAGGCCAGGGAAAAATAATGGCACTGCAGGGAGCCAATGAGGCTACTGTCTTGAATTAACGTCAAACCAGTGCGAATGGTAATACTTTTCTTCAGCTACTTTGAGGTGCAAGCATAAAAGTAGGCAGCTTTGAGAAAGCTAGTGATTTTTTTTGCTAGGCTTCAAAATCACTTGCCTACACTAAGATAACACTGTCAGCAGGTGACACCAGTCAGTAAACTAGAAAGATGTGAAGGGGTAAAGAGATTCTAAAAAAACCCTGGTAGAACAAACCTTTGTGCTCAAGTATGCATGTGGTTTTTGTTTGCTTTTTTAGAGCCTTGGGAATTTTTGTTCCCATTGTTTGAAG